ATGCATGCCTCAATCCTCTTCTCCTTCTCCCTCTGCCATTCTGGTATGCTAATTGTGACTCTTTCTCTGTGTGTGCTTGTCAAAACACATACTGCTGTTTGGTCAGCATATATTTTAAAACATGTATAAGTTGGATGTATTCTAAGTCTCTTTCTGTTTGCCTTTTTTCATTCAGCTCATTACAACTTTTTAGAAATAGTCTTAGAATGATGAAACTGCAAGAATGCAAATAGTACAAGGAACTTATAAACTTTTTTATTCAAAATCAGTGGACAGCACATATAGCATGGCTCTTTGTTGTTCAAATTTTCAGTATGCATTTTCTGAAAATATTCTCTTTTTTAAAGATTTATTTGTTTTTATTGCAAAGTCAGATATATACAGAGAGGAGGAGAGACAGAAAGATCCTCTGTCCGATGATTCACTCCCCAAATGACTGCAACGGTCGGTGCTACACTGATCTGAAGCCAGGAGCCCAGATCCTCTTCCAGGTCTCCCATGCGGGTGCAGGTTCCCAAGGCTTTGGGCTGTCCTCGACTGCTTTCCAAGCTACAATCAGGGAGCTGGATGGGAAGCAGAGCTGCCGTGATTAGAACCGGTACCCTTATGGGATCCTGGAGAGTTCAAGGCGAGGACTTTAACCGCTAAGCCATGGCGCTGGGCCCAAAAAATATTCTGTTATATAACCACAATCTGCTAGTCAACTAATAGATTATACTGATGGGCTCAGCACTGTGATTCTGCAGATTAAACTACTACTTGGAATGCTAACATCGCATAATGGAGTGCTGGTTTGAATCCTGGTTATTCTGCTTCCACTCCAGCTCCCTGTTGATGAACCCGGGAAAGCAGCTGAAGATGGTCCAAGTACTTGGATCCCTGCTGCCAATAGGGAGACTCAGATGAAGTTCTAGGCTCTGGCTTCAGCCTGGCCCAGTCCCTGCCATTGTATCCAACTGTAAACAGGATCCATCTCGTTCTCTCCTCTCTTTCTCTCTTTTACTCTGTTTCTCAAACAAATAAACCTTTAAAAATAACTTGGAAAGGGCCCGGCGGCGTGGCCTAGCGGCTAAAGTCCTCGCTTTGAATGCACCAGGATCCCATATGGGCGCTGGTTCTAATCCCGGCAGCTCCGCTTCCCATCCAGCTCCCTGCCTGTGGCCTGGGAAAGCAGTCGAGGACGGCCCAAAGCTTTGGGACCCTGCACCCACTTGGGATACCCAGAAGAAGCTCCTGGATCCTGGCTTCAGATTGGCATAGCACGGCCGTTGCGCTCACTTGGGGAGTGAATCAGTGGACGGAAGATCTTCCTCTCTGTCTCTCCTCCTCTCTGTATATATGACTTTCCAATAAATAAATAAATCTTTTAAAAAAAAAAAACTTGGAAAAAGCCCTCAAGTTTATGCTGATACCATAATTTTATCCTCTATCCATCTTGGCTAATTTGGTCAGTCTCTCAAATTCCTACTAACAGTTCATAAAGGTGTGTTGCCAAGGTCTACCAACTATTTTTGTTGTTGTTGTTGTTCTCAGCTGTTTTTTTTTCAATTTTAGCATATTTTATTTTTGCTTTATAATATAGTTTCATAGATTCTGGGGTTGCCCATGCCCTTCCCCAAGGTCCCTCCCTTCCCCCACTGCAATAATTTCCCCTCTAGTTTTACAATGGCTGCCCTTCAGACCTACCAACTCTTGATCCAGATTTTCCATCTTTTTGCCAATCGGTAAAACATGACTTACTGATTTAATTTGCATTTTTCCATTGCTAGCAAGTCTGAGTGTGTCTCACTGTGTTTGCGCCTCTCAAGGATCCTCTGATGCTAAAATGCTGTGCCGTGCTTTCTTTTTCCTCACTGAGGAGACTATTGCAAATGTCACCTCCACTGTGTTCTTCCGTTAACTTTGCTCCTGGGGTCAAAACTCCTTGATGTGTGTATGTTGTCAAGCTCATCAGTTTTACGTGCTCTGGTTTGTATTTTGAGGTTTAGTTTCAGGAGCCTTTCTCACTGAAGATCACAGGGCTTCTTAATTTTATTCTCACCTTCCATCTTTAGGCCTTCAAATGTTAGCAAGGATGTGGTTTTATTCTGATTTCCTGTGTGGTGAGTCAGTTTTCTCTGCTACTCCATGGCCTTACTTTACCCACTGATTTTAGTGGTTCCTCTTTTATTTTTAATTTAAAAATAAGATTTTTTTTTTATTGGAAAGGCAGATAAACAGAAAGGAGGAGAGGCAGAGAGGAAGATCTTTTGTCTGATGATTCACTCCCCAAATGACTGCAACAGTTGGTGCTGCACCGATCCAAAGTCAGGAACCCGAAGCCTCTTCCAGGTCTCCCATGTGGGTGCAGGGTCCCAAGGCTTTGGGCTGTCCTTGACTGCTTTCCCAGACCACAAGCAGGGAGCTAAATGGGAGGTGGAGCAGCCGGGTTAGGACCAGTGCCCATATGGGATCCCGGTGTGCTCAAGGCTAGGGCTTTAGTCACTAGGCTACTGCTGGATTGATCTGTCAGTCTTTTGGATGGACCATGAGTCTGTCCTTGCACCAGTATAGCACACTGTTTGCTGCTGTGGTTTGTGTTGCCTGCATTTTAATATCTGCTAGGGCAAAGGCCCCTATGTGGCTTTGCTCTACTTTTCCACAACAGAGTGATTGATGGCCTTTCATTTCTTGTGTCAGCTTTAAAAAGGTACTTAATAATTCTAACTTTGAAGATGAATTTATAGATTAATTTTAGTGGAAAGGAAAGTCTTTCTATTTCAGAGCAAGAATTCTTTTATGCCAATCATATGTTTCTCTTTCCTGTTTTTGTAAAGATTTGCTTATTTATTTGAAAGGCAGAGTTACATAGGTAGATGCACAGAGAAAGATCTTCCGTCTGCTGGCCCATTCTCTAGATGACCTCAACAGCAGGGCCTGAACCAGGCTGAAGTCAAGTGCCTGGAACTCCATCCATGAGGGTGCAGGGGCTCAAGCACTTGGATCTCCTCTGTTGTTTCCTCAGGCACATTAGTAGGAAGATGGATTGTAAGTGGAATAGCTGGGACTTGAACTGGCACACTTGTGGAATGCTGGTGTCTTAGGCAGCAGCTTAATTCACTGCCCTTCTTCATCAATCACTTAATATGTTCTTTATTAGGATTTTAAGTTTATTACCACAGGAAGTTGGGGCTAGAGTTAGGTAAGTTAATTTTTTCTGTATTTCATATTTTTGCTCTGGAAATGTGATCTCATTTTGAGTATATTTTCTAGTTGGTTGTATTGGGATAGAGAAGTGTTGTTGATTTGAAAAATAAATTATTCTGCTCAAAGTTTATCAGCATATAAAAATATCGCACAAATCCTAAGAGTCTGCCTCAAAGACTCATCACACAACTATGTGATCGTAAAATAGACCCTTCTGATACCCAGACCCTCCTCCCTCTACCCAGCTGTCCAGTGTGTCACCACCTTGCCCTCCTGGAGACATCCTTCCATGATCATGGGAATGGCCTTTTTTTTTTAAGTGACTTCCTAATATTTTATTTAGAATTTTTAATTTTAAAATGATTATTTATTTATTTGAAAGGCAGAGTTAAGAAAGAGAGAGAGGGACAAATAGAAAGAGGTCTTCTATCCATTGGTTCACTCCTTAAATGGCCACAATGGCTGGGCCAGGTAGCAGCCAGGAGTCGGGAGCTTCTTCCGGATCTCCTACATGGCTGCAGGGACCCAGGCACTTGAGCAAACCCTCGCTACTTTCCCAGGAGTGTTAACAGGGAGGTGAGTTGGAAGTTAGAGCAACAGGGGCTCAAACCAACGCCTACATGGGATGCCAGCTCCCCAGGTGGCAGCTCTACGTGCTGTGCCACTGAGCCAGCCATTTTATTTAGAATTGCTGCCTCTGTGTTCATTCATGCCCTGGACTGTTAGAACTCCGTGCCAACTGAGAGTGCGGGAGGTTGTGTGGCTACCTGCTTCTGATCCGCAAACTAGGAGCTTGCCTTGACTGTGAGTCTGGGGACAGAGGCCTTTTGCACTGGAGGGATGCAGCAATCATAGCTCATCTGGTACATGGCCTCCCTCCCTCCCCCAGAAAGTGTCCTCTCTGTCCTGGGGCTCTGCTTCTGCCTTGTTTTGAGGTTCCTTGCTGAGTGGTGTTCTGTGACTCTCAGCGTCTCTCCTGCTGCTATGTCTCTATGCCTCTGTCTTAGGTTTTTTGTCTCTGTCACTTTCTGTGTAGCTTGGTCACTCTGGGTAGCCTGGTAGCTTTCACCTGCTCTCCATCCTCCCCTTCTCTGAAATGGGGATGAGCTCAAGTTGACAGCCTGTGCACCTTAGCCCTGGACAGTGTCACCCTCCCCTTTGCCATCACTGTGTCATCCCTGTCTACTTTGTTCCCAAAGGGTGTGGTGAACCCTGGTGGTCAGATGATGCCCCCCGTACCCGCCATTGGCCCTGGGAGGTGAGCCTGCGGACAGAAAACGAGCACATGTGCGGAGGGGCCCTCATTGCCTCGAGCTGGGTGGTGACCGCCGCCCACTGCATCCAAGGGTGAGTGCAGCTCCTGGCTCCAGGGCCTGGAGACCCAGAGCTGCCACGGGCCAGTCTCCTTATTCTGTCGTATTGGGGGAAAGGGGATGGGAGGGGGGAAATGGAAAGGCGTGTCCAGAACAGAGAAGAAACATGTTCAGGACCTTGTGATGGGCGGGGAATGAACTGGGACAGGAGCTCAAGCTAAGTGGTTAGCGGGAAAACCCAGAACCCTTCCCGCCCTGCACACCAGACCACCACGTACACTGACACCCATGGACCTGCACACACAGCACAACTTGACTCCCCTGACTCAACTTGACCATGAGTGATGAGGCAGGCAAATATTTGGCTCTGAGGGCCCAAGATCAGACGAGGGGTAACCAAAGCAAATCGGGCAGGCCTGCTGGTGTGGGAGGCAGGAGTATCCTCGGCTCGGGGCTCTAGCCTGTACCAGGTGGAACTGCATGTCTCCTGCAGCACCCAGGAGTACTCGGTGATGATCGGCTCCTCGCGGCTGAAGCCTTTGTTTCCCTCCATGGCTCTCTGGATCCCCGTGAAGGACATCATCATGCACCCCAGGTACTGGGGACAGACCTTCATCATTGGTGATGTTGCCCTTCTTCGGCTGCGCACTCCCGTTACCTTCAGCAAGCACGTGCAGCCCATCTGTCTCCCTGAGCCCGGCCTGAACTTGAAGGTTGGGACACAGTGCTGGGTGACTGGCTGGAGCCAGGTGAAGCAGCGCTTCTCAGGTGAGCCCCCCCAGAACCCCACCGCAGAGCCCACTCCTTTTCCCTCTTGGACCCCCATTTGTGATGCCATAGAGGAAGCTGATGGCTGCCATCCCGGAACGGGTTAGGACCACTTCCCATGTGTTCATGGTCATGGTTTTCATAGACACCTTGTTCTGACTGGCGATTTGTCAGTTCACGCACTCATTTGACAGACTTCAAACAGGTGCCCTGAGTTAAGATGGTTGCCTTGTCTTGAAGGAAGTCATCGCTGAGTGTGGGAGGGGCTTGGGCTGACAAGAAAAAAGGCAAAGAGCTTGTCCGGCGAATCCTGGGATCAAATCCAGAGAGATGTGTGATGCATTCTGGGCAGAGGGGCATTCTAAGGGCACCAGCTCCTGTTGGGGCCACCATGAGCAGCCAGTGCAGGGCTGGGGAGGGAGGAGAGGGACAGCAGCGGCCGCCTTGGCCCTCTGATGAGGGTCTGCTGCGGTCTTGGATCTCACATCTGAGCCTTAGAGGAAGAAGGGCTGACCCGACAAAGTCTACGCTGCAGGGGGAAGGACCAGGAGAAAGGGTATAAAGAAGTGTGAAGGGGCATGGGTATGGTTTGCCTGACTGACCCTTGGCAGAAGTCTGGGGCCTCACTCTGGGTTCATCCACAGCTAACACCACGCCGACACCAGAGCTGCAGGAGGCCGAGGTGTTCATCATTGATAATAAGAGGTGTGACCGAATTTACCACAGGAAGTCTTTGTACCCCCGCATCATGCCCCTTGTCCTGAGTGACATGGTCTGTGCCACCAACCATGAAGAAAACTTGTGCTATGTGAGTTTCCGTCAGGCTCTGGCAGCCTGTCCCGTGGGTGAGAGAGCTCCTTGGGTCGGGGGATGTCGTGGGCAGGGATCTACTTGGTCACTTCCACCCTCAGCCTTGCCGGGCAACCCTCTCCTCTTACGTTCCTTCCTGTCTCATTTGGGTTTGGGCTGCTACCAGGGCAGGGTCTCCAAGGAGGAGCCAAAGGAGAACTCCAGGTAGTGAGATTCCCCAGTAGCTGACTGCTTGTAACAAGAGTGCAATGGTGGCCACTCTGGGGCCTGTGACCTCCCATCACTCCTCTCTCATTGTCCAGGGTGACTCCGGGGGGCCGCTGGCTTGCGAAGTGGAGGGCAGGTGGATTCTTGCAGGGGTCTTGTCCTGGGAGAAGGCCTGCGCCAAAGCCCAGAATCCGGGTGTGTACACCCGCGTCACCAAGTACACCAGCTGGATCAAGAAGCAGATGAGTAGGGGGACAGTCTTAGGGGTCTGCACCCCCTGGCTTCTCCTCCTGTCCTGGTTGCTGTAGCCCCTGCTGGGCCCCTGACCGCCTTCTGTGTCCTCTCCCTGCTCAGCTGCTGCTGAAAGTGACCGGGTGGATTTGGTCATGGGTCCACATTGACCAGGAGTCAGAGCAGGGAAGGAGTGCCCTGGGAAGCAAGGACCTTCTTGGGTGACCCAGCAGAGCGGGATGTAGCAGCTGACAAGGCCTTGGGGTGACAAGGAGAAGGGAAGAATGACCTTAGAAGTTGTGGAAGCTGAGACGAGGAGGGCAGGAATTAAATGTGTGTAAATGAATTTGTGAGCTCTGGACTCTTTTTTTTTTTTTTTTCCATCTTTTGAGGTTAGTTTAGAGGTTTTGGGTGGGTAGGAGAGTGAGGCCTTGTGAAAGTCATTCTGCTGTGAAACTCCCCGGAGTAGGGGATGGTCGCTTTTGTTGTGTTACTAGTGCCCGAGTATGTGTTTCCACTGCCCTTATCTGTAACCCAGACCCAGTGTGCTAGCCACCTAACCCCAGGTGGTCACTGACCTGCGCTCTCCCCAGCAGCATAAACCCATCTGAGACAAGTGTGCACCCTGTCTCTGAACTTGGATGGGCTGTTGACTGTTGGTGCCAAATTCAACAAGGGGACCAACTCAGGCAAAGAGAAGACAGTGAGACGAGGGATTTGTCAACCTATCTGGGTAAAGTTTCTACACCTGCAGAGAGGCTTCCTGAAGGAGCTTGGGTTGAGCACCAGGGGTGCTCCACAGGCCAGGTACCAGACCCTGTCACCAGCCAGATGCCTGGTGCTATCATGGACCAGACACATGACGCCATCACAGACATAGGCCTAGATGCAGGGCATCACGAGGCCAATAACGACGTGGGGTGCACTGTAGAGAGCTGGCCACAGGAGGCGCGCAGAGTCATCCCTGGGCGGACCCGAGAGCAGCAGTACTTCGTGCTCCTGGCAGAGCCTGGACATGATGGGACCACAGCCTCCCCGGAGCCCCTCTGCTGCACAGCCGAGTCAACCGTGGGGCCCATGCTCTGCTGTCCTGAGTAAACAAACCATGAGTTCTAGAATCCTCACACAGCAGAGAGAACCCACCCGCCCGCCTCGCCCTGCCCCGTCCCGCTCCAGGTTCCTGGGTACCGAGAGAAGCTGACCGTCTGTGTGCCATGGCTTGTGAGCAGGGGGATCTTCAGAACCCTCTCATACCACCACTGCCTGCTCCAAAACTCAACACTCAATTCAATGTAGAAGGTTGGAGTTCAGGGGTGTGGCCAAGGGTAGAGGATCTCGTTCCCTGGGATCTGTGTCAGCTATCCCTAAGATCCATGGGCCCCATTTGTCCATGTCCTGATGGATGTATCCTTTGTAGACCAGGAACTTGACTCTGGGTGGTTCCAATCTTTTTTTTTTTAATATTTATTTTTATTAAAAAGTCAGATATACAGAGTGGAAAAGAGACAGACAGGAAGATCTGTATGATGATTCACTCCCCAGGTGGCCACAATGGCTGGAGCTATGTCAAACTGAAGCCAGGAGTCCTGAGCCGTTTCTGGGTCTTCAGCGTGGGTGCAGAATTCCAAGGCTTTGCGCTGTCCTCCACTGCTTTCCCAGGCCACAAGCAGGGAGCTGGATGGGAAGCAGGGCCACTGGGATTAGAACTGGCATCATTATGGGATCCCAGCATGTTCAAGACGAGGGCTTTAGCCACTAGGCTACCGTGCCAGGCCCCAGTTCCAATCTTTAGAGTAACCACAGAGTTGTGACAGAAGAGCTGTGTTGGAAATGGGAGACCAATGACTGGCATTGTGGCACTGTGGGTTACCACCACCTGTGATACTAACATCCCATAGGAATGCACACAGTAATGGACTGCTTGTGGCAGAGCGGAGGGTGACTCTCTTCCCGCCCACAACCTGGGCAGTTTGAGTGAGCCGGGAGGTGTGGGCCCAAGAGCCTAGTGCACACAGCCCCCTCCCGTATCTTTCCCCAGAGTCATGGTTCCAGGGCTGCGGTCACACTAATGTGTCCTGCAAGGTGATCAAGGGCAAGCTGGTGGAGGTGGGCAAGTGGCCATGGCAGGTGAGCATTCTCTACCTGGGCATCTACATCTGTAGCGGCTCCCTCATCCACCACCAGTGGATCCTCACAGCTGCCAACTGTTTACAGAGGTCAGTCATGGGGGCTCACTGGGCCCCAGAGACTTGACTTCTGGCCTGGGGCGCTCTGGGGAAACTGGGGACCTGGAAGCAAAGAGACCCTTCTGGGCAGCCCCATGCCAGGTTCCCTCTCTCCAGCCAGAGACAGCCTCACCGCCTGATATCCTGCCTTCTACCCACCAGATCCAAGGATCCCAATCAGTACTCTGTGAAGGTGGGAGTCCAGCAGCTCCCAGAAAACAGCACCCAGCTCTCGATCATCCACATTGTGATCCATGAGGACTTCAACAATTCTATGTCCCAGGACATTGCCCTGCTGAAGCTCAGGGACCCCGTCTCCTGGTCCATCCTCGTCCAGCCCATCTGCCTCCCCAAGAAAGATTTCAAACTACCCATCGGAAGCACCTGCTGGGCCATTGGCTGGGGATCTACAGGGAAAAGTGAGTGCAAGGCCAGCAGAGGTCTCAGGACATGTGTCCTCCAGAGCACAGCCGCGTCCTGGGCTTGGTCATTCATTTCTTCCTTCACTCATCCACTCAGGAGGCATTTCCTGTGCACCTGCTGTGCTTTACACTGTCCCATCCTCTATCCTATCTGAAATTTTGTGTTCTCCCTAAATGCCCACCACAGCTTGGACTGGGTCTGGCCAAGGCAAGGAGCCAGGAACTCAATCTGGATCTGTTCTCTGGGTGGCAGGTACCCAACAACAAGCTGAACTGCACACGGAAGCAGAGCCTGGACTGTGGTACTAGATATGGTTGTTCCAAGCAGCGTCTTAACCACTGTGCTAAACACCTGCTCCCTCACTCTCATCTGAAAGATGCACTTGTCCTCAAAGTCGTTCAATGGCAAAAAGTTAATCTTCGGCTATGACTGGGATTGCTGGTGGTGGCTGTAGGTGGCCTGAGGGCCATGACCTCAGGAGGCACCGAGGCATCATGGGTTCTGCTTACCTTGAAGGTCCTGGAGGCCTGATTCCAGTTGGTGCTACCCTGAGGCCCTAGCCTCGGGGCACCTTTACAAGGACCTGCCTTCCATGGGTGGCCACACTCTGGGTGCTAGGGCCTTCCCTCACAGCCTCTTTCATTGTCTACAAGTCCTTCCAGTGAGCTGGGGCGTTTTCCAAAGTCAAGCTATGGGCTGAGGCTTCGGTAAATGAGTGTCCCAAGAAATGGCTCTGCCACCCACATTGGCCAGGGTGGACGCCTCTGAGGTGGAGTTATGGTGAGCAGGAGAGGGGCTCATTGTACAAGAGCTGTCTCTCCACAGACATCCTGAAGTTTCCGTACAGTCTTCAGGAGGTGGCCGTCAGGATCCTACACAATCAGGCATGCAACCAGAAGTACCGCTTCCTCCGGTCCAGCGGCCAGAAGAAATTCATCGGGAAGGACATGCTATGTGGCGGCTCCGAGTGGGGCCTGGACACATGTCAGGTGCGGAGTGTGTGGGCCTGGGCAGGGACCTGGGCAGGGACTTTGTAGTACTGGGAGAACTTGGGAGAAAAGTCCTAGTCTGTGCAATACCCTTCACTGCCACCACAAGGATGGAGCTAGGAGGATGGCAGAGTATTTCCCACCTCGTAAGTTCATCTGCACGCCAGCCACACGCTAGTTGCTGGCTCAGCCAGTTCTACATTTACAGCAGCGGCATCCTGTTCACACGCGTCTGCCATTTGCACCTTTTCTTTCTTTTTCAAAAATATTCTAGATTATACTTCAGTGCTCATTGTGCATGTTGTAAAATTCTTAAATCAGTTTTCCATTTATTTTCATTTTGTTTATACTGACTTTTGTAAAACAGCAATGTGGATTTTAATGTAGTCAGATATATGGTGTTTTATTGTTTAAGAAATCTGTTTGTTTGTTTGTTTGTTTGAGGCACATAGGTTGTCTCCTGTTCCCAAAGTTTGAAAATTTCATTGAATTCACGTGGTATTTATTTGGTGGATGGCAGAAGACAGGGGTCTATTTTCACTTATTTCCTGTGGAAGCTGTTGGTTGCTGCACACTGACTGCACCCAGTCTCCCCCAGATGTCAAGCTTCTAGACATGCAGGGGCTTTCTTCCATGTGCACACCGACACGTAGCTTGGAGCTTGCTGGCTTTCTAGTAGAGGTATTTGAGGCTAGAGATTTCCCTCTACCTACTGCTTTAGCTTCATGCTATAAAAAAAAACTGAAATATAGTATTTAATTTTTTCTTTATTTTAATGATCTTTACATAATTGGTTAGGGCACAAAGGCTTAAGGGCTATAGGAAAGTGGGTAAGACCATTGTTTCCACATTCTCTTTTGTCCTTCCTGTATCTGGGAGAAGGGAGGAGATAAAGGGAGAAGCTACACCCAGCCTCCCAACCATCCCAGGTCCCCAATGTGGGGCATGCTCTGAGGCCACTGCTCAGGTGGTTTTGGTAGTTCAACAGTTCTGAATGACTGCAAATCTCACCATTCCAGGCACGATGAAATCTTTCCAGAATCCACTGGCTGACATAGTCCATGTTAGAGTCTTCATTTGCCCAGATTTTTACTGCCAACACTTGGCTGGGGTAGTTGATCAATTTGTTCTGTCCTCCATCCTCTGTTATGGTACCAGGTGTCCTCTGCAGGTTCTAATGGACCATCGTGTCCTCCATGTGCAACTGGCTATGTTGTCTGTATTTTTTTTATTCTCCTACAACTCCAAATATTTTATATATAATTTTTGTTTGATTTTATTCTTTTTTTTCCTGTTGCTATTGATTTGTGATCATGAAACTAGCTCTACAGTGCTACCAGTTAGATGGAATATACTGAGACTTGTTTGGTGTTCTTGTGTGTGGTTAAATTCTCCAATGGTTATTTTATCATTTTCAATTTCAATGAATTTTCCATGGACTTGATATTCTTTTTTTTTTTTGAGCAGAAATTTCTAGCTTTCAGTTTAAAGCATTTTTTAAAAAGGTGTATTTATTTTTATTGCAAAGTCAGACATACAGAGAGGAGGAGAGACATAGAGGAAGATCTTCCGTCCAATGGTTCACTTCCCAAACAGCCACAAAGGCTGGAACTGAGCCAATCTGGAGCCAGGAGCAGAAGTTTCTTCTGGGTCTTCCATGCTGATGCAAGGGCTCAAGGCTTTAGGCCATCTTCAACTGCTTTCCCAGGCCACTAGCAGGGAGTTGGATGGGAAGTGGAACAGCCGGGACATGAACCAACACCCATATGGGAACCTGGTGCTTGTAAGGCAGAGGATTAACCACTGAACCACTGCACTTCGCCCAAGATTTTCATTCTTTTGTTTTGCTTAGAAATGCCTTTTTCATAATAGTAAAAGTATTTAGGTGTTATGTTCTAATTATTTTCTTTAAATATTTTATTGCATTTTTAAAAATTCCCTTTATCTAGAAGGTTGGAAGAGGAAATTCTGCTTTTCCTTTTCTCCACATGCACAGCTAGATCTAGTCATTCACTGACTCCTGGTGGGTGTTTTTCAGTGATGATTAGACAAGTCCTGCTCGGACAGCTTCAATTCCCGTCTCACTTCCGCCCCTCTCGCCTCCTCCCAGGGTCATCTCTAGGCCACCACCACTCTTTGAAATGATTATAGTTTAAAGTTGTTTTGTTTGTTTGTAGTGAGACAAGTCTCTCTTCATTCTTCCTCGTTTGAAGCATTTTCCTGGCAGTTCTCGAAGGTTCATTGTAATTGAGCAATATCTGAGACGTGTTGTCAGAAGGGGAAAGCATGTTGGGATTTCTGGCGGAAATTGGCAGTCAGAGGCGAGGACCTTTGTTTTTTCCTCTGTTCCCCATGTCCCCAGGCGAGGGGTCTGTGACACTCATAGTTGTGTCATCGCAGGCTGCTGCTTCACCATATCCCTGGGTGTCACCGAGGCGGCTTTATTGTGAGCGGGAATCTCTCCTTGTGCTGTGTTTTCTGCTGGTCTCACGGGTTTTGGGTGAGTTTGCTTTGTTCTAAGCATCCTGTCTGGCAACCCAGAAACATAATACCTAGCGGCGGTGGTAGCTCGCCTCTGCTTCACTGTGTGTGTGTTCCCTCCTTCTCCACCCTGTCCCCTGCAACGCCCAGAACACGGCCGTCTTCCAGGAGACTCTGTGTCATTTGAGGTTTAGGTGTGTCTCTGGGAAATAGCCGAACACCGGATCTCTCAACGTGTCTGAGGGACCGTCCTGGCATCCGCTTGCCAGAGACGACTGTGGTTTCTGTCCCCTGACCTTGCATTTGGTTTTGATTTTTCTCCCCTCCCTGCACTCCGGTTTAATGGGTGAGAAGTTACACATGTAGGCTGTGTTCTGCTGCTGGCCACCCTCTATTTTCCACATACATATTTAAAATTGAATTAACACCAAGGATTCATCCAAGTCTACGGCTTCCTTGGCAGGGCCAGAACCTGCTTGCTTGCTCGGTCTGCATTTCCGTCTCCTGTGGAAACTCCTGGGCAGCACAGCTCACGGAGCTCCTCCATCCTAGCTGGGAGTCTTGGTGTTCCTGTGAGCCACCATTCCCAATATCATCAATGATCCTCCCGGAAATTTCCAGTTTTGCAAAGCTCTTCCGTGGACATCCTGGAGTCACCCGCTTTCCCATGAGGGTGCCCCCTCACACTTCACCCTGGATCCCCATGTGGGGCTGAGTTCATGCCACAGTGGAATCTGGTCCCAGGAGTCACTGCCATGTGCTGGGAGTGCCGTGGCCACCACCGCCAGAATGATGCCAAGTTCTCACTCAGTGTGCAGAGACCGTTTAACGGACAGTTATACCTGGCCCCTTTCCAGGATTATCCGTTCCCAGCCCAGCGTGGATTTTTGTTGTTGTTGTTGTTTTGCTTTTGTTTTGTTTCATTCATCTGCTGGATTCAGGTTTATATTCTTTCAGTAAAACACAGTTTTAACTGACCTGTTTACCCAGCAGACAATGGCTGCTGAGCCCAGCTCAGGTATGGGACAACAGATTGCCCTTGGGTCTGGGGAAACAAACCCTTCCACTTGGCGCAATGCAAAGTGTCTTTTTTTCTCATCCCTGCTGTAAAGTTGGACTCCACTTTAAGGAGTAGAGAGGAAGTTACTGCTCCTGGCATCTGGTGGAGGATCAGGACTGTAGTTCACTTGCAGAATGCTCGTCCAGCTTCCAAAACAATTGAAACAACACCAATGATCTCCTCCTTGAACACAGGATCCAAGTTGCTGAAGAATCCTGTTCTCATTTGAGTAGTTGTTCTTGGGCAGTATCTTCAAGTTGTTTAGCTCATCATCCTGGGACGTGACAGGCTTTCTATCACACTTGGATGAAATAGTTTGCATTTTCTGTAGAAACTTTTCATTGCATGCAGAGTGTGAATTCACAAAGAGGAGTTTGTCAACAGAGTCTTGAGATTCTGCGACAGTATACTTTCCAGGGATGTGGTTCTGGCCTCTGTTCTACTCAAACCGCAAAGCATTTGCGCCCTCCTTGTCTGGTTCTCTTCCTGAAGGCTCACAAGTGGCTCCTCTGTTACTGTGGAAGAAGAAGTGATTGGCTTTCTCTCAAGCCTATGATTTTTCTGCCTCCAGATGCATGTCTTTATGAATTCCTCTTTTCAAGTAACTTGAACTGAATGTACAGTGATAATTTGTGCTAATAAAAGTAATGCATTTTGTTCTCTCCCGTCTGATAGGTACGTGTTTGAGAGCAGGACTCCACTTGGTGCAGGGCAGGCCCATATCCTGCAAGGGAACATGTGGTGGCCCTTTCTTCCTGCACTCTACTTATGCAGTTTAGCACTTTTGAAAGTGACTCGTTGTTCTCTGCCGATGAGCTGATTCATATTTTGTGACTGGGTTCTGACGTTATTTCACTGGGGCTTGGGCATGTCCACATGCAGTAGACACGTGAGGGCCTGTTGCTCTGGCTCCCGGCCCCCTCTCGTTTCTCTCCCTCTCGAAGGCCCTGCAGTTGATTGTGGCTTCACGCAGTGACCCTCACACTGTCATGCTGCCCTCTTCCTTTGCCCTCCCCGCAGCAAGCCCCTGCCTGACTCTGTAGCACAGCGTGTGCTGAAAGGCTTGTGCACCTTTGTAAGCTGCGCAGTGTTGCTACACGTGTGTTTAATCTGCATAGATGATACAGGAGTTGCTTTGTGCTGGGGGGTTCACAGTAAATGGCTTTCTCTCTTCAAACTGTTGCTTCCACATGACAATGTCAAATTCCTTCCTTCCTTCTTTGCCTGCAACGTAGTTTTGGACTGAGGTCACAATTTATAACTGCTTTCATTATGAAACCTAGTCCTGTTAGAAGGCTCCATGTCTGAGTCGATTGGATTTAAGCCTAATGCACACACGGAGGTCAGTGTCCTGGCCACAGCAGTGTCCTAGCTGTGGAGGTCCTCTCATGCCTCAACTCCTGTACTAGTTTCAGGAGGTATTATCGGTTGACCTCTAACTGCTAACTTCACTGAGACTTGGCATCCTTCATGGGTTAACCTTAATTTTGACAGATGCAATCTTTTTTTTTAAATTAGATTTTTGACAGTCTTTACATAGTTAATTAGGGTAAAAAGGTTCAAGGGCTATAGGAAAGTGGGTAAGATTATTATTTCCATACTGTTTCCTTCATGTATCTGAGGTAAAGGGGGATATTGAGGGAGAAGCCCCACCCAGTCTCCCACCCACCCCAGGTCCCTGATGTGGGGCATGCTCTGAGATACTTGCTCAAGTAGTTTTGATAGTTCACCAGTTATGAATTGCTGCCAGTCTCGCCACTACAAGCACGATGAGGTTGTTGAAGAATCCATTGATTGACATAGTCCAGACAGATGAAACCTAACACAGTTCCCTCTCTTGAGAATTGTGGGTTTCAAATCTTATGTTGAAAAAGATGCTCCCTCCAGAGTCATATAGGCATGCGCTAGTTAGCTAGCTTTCCTCTTTAATTTTTCATGTCAAAGTTTTTCATTCTCCTGGAGCATGCTGTAGGACTTGACTTCATTTTCTCCACCTGTGAGCCAATGCCTGCCCCATTCTCCGAATAGTCCTGCTTTCCCATAGACTTGACATTTTCTGGAACCCATTCAAGTCCCTTCGTAAAGGTACCACTGTCCCAGTGGTCTCTTTTTCTGTGTTTATGCTGGGGCTTTGCCGCTTGCATGATTATAGCTTTGAAATATATCTGTGTGGTAAGAAAATCTGTCCTGAGCCTGTCTCTCCAGTTGTGTCTTGTTTACCAAAACTGTCACAGATTTCATGGATCAGTATAAAATTCAATATCAATTTTAAAATCAGATCGGCAAATTTCTGAAAAACATTCTGCTGGTATTTTCTTTTTAAAAATCCATATTGGCTATTTTCCTTTTATTTAAAAGGCAGAAAGAGAGAGAGAGGAAGAGAAAGAAGGCTTCTACCCTCTGGTTCACTCTCCAAATGCCTGCAACAACCAGGACTAGGCTAGGCCAAGACTAGCAGCCAGGAGCTCAACCCAGGTCTGCCCTTGGATGACAGGGACTCTTGTGGCTGGGCGCTCACCAGCTGCCTCCCGGGGTGTGCATCAGCAGGAAGCTAGATTGGAAGCAGAGGAGCCCGGACCCCAACCAGGCCCTCTGATATGGGACTTTTACTCTGTTGAAGAGAAAAAGAAGTAATAAAAAAACATACGTGGGAAGTAACGCTGAAAACAAGCAGCATTCATTCCCCTACCATCAAGCTCAAGAACTGTGAAGGGGGCCCAAGTGGTCATAGAGAATGAGGATTTAGTTTTTTTCCCAAACACTTGTTAAAATCCTTTCACAGCGACTCCTGTGTGATAGCCCCCGTCTCCAAGCCTGCGGGCCTGGACTGTACCCTCGGATTTTCTCTCGCCTGGCACTGCCGTGCTGCTCGGCCCTCTCCATGGGCAGGGTGATTTGAGGACACTCCCTGCTGGGTTTGTCTTTTGTCTCCCTCATGCAGCAACAAGGCTGTGAAAACCGAAGCCTGGTGTTGCTGGCTTTGACAAAGGGCTCTGGGGCAAGAGCCATCTTCTGGGCTCTTCTGAGCTCCCTGGGTTCGTTAGGGTCCTTCCATGCTGGGTCTTTATTTTCCTGTTAGCATTTGTAACCATACAGTTTGGGCTTCAGGTACAATAGGGTTAGGCCACTACCTGTGATGTCAGCTTCCCATAAGAGCTCCAGTTCAAATCCTGGCTGCTCCACTGGTGAACCAGATCCCTGCTCACATGCCTGAGGGGGAGGGGAAGATGGTTCAAGTGTTTGGGGCCCTGCCCCCAATGTGGGAGACCCTGGTGGAGCTCTAGGTGCCTGGCTTCAGCCTTACCCAGCTGGGCCCTTATAGCCATTTGCGGAGTGGACCAGCAGACAGAAAAGTGCTCTCTCTATAACTGCTTTTCGAGTAAACAAATAAACCTTTTTAAACGATTTAAAATAATAAAAGGATACTTTTAAAAAAATCTTGCATCTTTCATTATCTTCAGCAAGAGGTCCATGAGAGTATGTCAGCTTCTGCAGTGCAGGAGACCCAACGCTGAGCCCTGGGATCGTCCTCCTCTCCTACCGCTTGGCCCCTGCTGAGCACGGCAGTCTTTCTGCACCTGGGTAGTGATCTTCTCTCAGGAGCTTAGACCTAGTTTTCTTATTTGTTTTCTTTCAGTATTTTATGGCCTCTACATTTGATTATGCTCTGTAAATCCTAGTGTACGCTACACACACACACAAACACACAATAATAAATGCAACGAACTGCTTTTGTGATTTATAGTATTTCCCAACACAAAAGATCCCAGGAATGGCGGCTGGCACCTCTCGATGTACATATGATTCCTATACACCCACAACCGCTTTCCCGCAGAAAGAGGGAGCTGGCTCCATGCAGCTCACTCTCCCTCTGCATGCAAGTGGAGATCCTAGGGGGAAAGGTCAAAGGCAGCACCTTGGAGGTTATCAGGGTCGAAGGGAAGGTGGAGAGGGGAACTTAGGTCCAATGCAGAGCAAGCCAGCCAGGTCTCTTCCTCGCCCCCTCCCTGTGCTCTGCAGGATAACTCGGGCAGCTCCCTCGTGTGCCAAGTCAACGACACCTGGATTCAGTTGGGGGTGGTGAGCTGGAGCTTCAGCTGCGGCCGGCGCCACTTCCCCACCGTCTACACCAGCACCCCGCATTTCACCCAGTGGATCCAGAAGCAGATCTCCGACTTGAAGTTCGTCAGCCGGGCCGGCCCTGCCCTCCTCGCCGGCCACATCCTGCTCGTTTCACTGGGCTCCCTGTGGCTGCTGTGAGCAGAAGTTCGGGCTGGTCACTCCGGAGAGGGCGGCGACTCCTCTGGCCCCTCTGCTGTGCGCGGGAGAGGTGAAGGCAGCAGGGGGCACTGGAGAGCAGGGCAGAGTGACAGCCGGGGAAAGGATCCCAGATCAATGAAGACCTGTGAGCCACTGGGGTCCTCTACGTCTTCTTTGGCCAGAGCCCTTTAGACCTCCCTGTTGAACCTGCCCCCAGGGTCTTGTCCATTTTTATTTATTTGCTCTTTTTTTTTTTTAAGATTTATTACAAAGTCAGATATACAGAGAGGCGGAGAGACAGAGAGGAAGATCTTCCGTCCGATGATTCACTCCCCAAGTGAGCACAACGGCCAGTGCTGCGCTGACCTGAAGCCGGGAACCAGGAACCTCTTCCAGGTCTCCCATGTGGGTGCAGGGTCCCAAAGCTTTTGGGCGGTCCTCGACTGCTTTCCCAGGCCACAAGCAGGGAGCTGGATGGGAAGTGGAGCTGCTGGGATTAGAACTGGCACCCACATGGGATCCCAGTGTGCTCAAGGCAAGGACTTTAGCTGCTAGGCCACGCTGCTGGGCCCTATTTATTTGTTTTTTAAGATTTTTCTTTTTTTTAATTTGAAAGGCAGAGTTACAGAGAGAAAAGGAGAGAGAGTTCTTCCACCTGCTGACTTACTCTCCCCAAGTGCCCACAAGGGCCAGAGCTGGACTGGTCTGAAGCCAGGAGTCAGGAGCTTCTTCTGAGTGTACCATGTGGATGCAGGATTCCAAGGATTTGGGCCATCCTCCGCTGCTGTCCCAGGAGCATTCGTAGGGAGCTGGATGGGAAGTGCAGCAGCCAGGGCTTCAGCTAGCACCACAGGGTGGAGGATTAGTCTACTGTGCCACAGTGCTGGCCCAGGGTCTTCCATGTGGCTCTGGAGACTGCTAAAGATTGAAGCCCCTGCTTGGTCTTCTCCATGCTGCAGCCATCCCTGGGGTCCCCGCGTCCATTCTCCGGCTCTCAGAGCGTAGAGTTCCTTTCCCCAAGAAGCTGCCCTTGTGCCCGGGGTGCTGGAACCTACAGGTCTCCCCCTCCACTGGTGTCCCTTGGGATCTGCCAAACCTTCCTGGTCCCTCCTCTCCTCAAGCTGGGACTGGGGCGCATGGGCCAGGCAGGAAAATGGTGCAGTGTGCACAGCGTGAGCTTCCGGGCAGCCTCTGCCACCACCATGGGATCTCAGATTGGGTTAAAGGGTCTCCCCCACAGCCCCCCCACAAGGCAGACCTGCAGCTTCAGGGTCTGCACGGCCAGGCACCCTAGTCTTTGGGGAGCCATCTTCCTGTTTTCTGAGATTGGGGCCTTAAGTGGCCAACTGGAGTGTCTCTTCTCCAGATGCAAGGCCTGGGTCAGTGTTTGCATGTCCTGGCTGGTCGCATGCTCTGTCAGGTCGCATTTTTCAATAGCTCGGAACTAAGTCTTCTTGCAGGATTTTCCAGATTAAAAAAAAAAAAATGAAGTAGCAGAGAGACAGAGCAAGGGAGCAGGAGAACATGTGAGAACTCCCCCAAAGACCCATGGCGGCTAGGAACGGGACTGGGTAAATCCTGGGGCCGGGAACTCAATGCAGCTCTCCCGTGTGGTGTCAGGGACCCGGTCACTTGAGCAGCCCTGGGATCTTGCACTGGCAGGCAGCGGATCCATGAGGCTCTCCAAACCACGGTCTTCCTCGTACTATGTATAAAATCTCTCATCTGGGGTTGGGGGTACATTACTCTCTGCAACCCCAATTCCCTGGTTGGGATAGAGAGTGGGAGGGTCCTTGGAGGCAAGTGCGTAGTGATGCATTCTTTAAAACCATGTTAGCCTGCTACATTTCAGGGCCTTGGGCCAAGGCTTTTCCGACTGCAGCCACAGTGGGGCCACACTAAGCTCGGGCACTAAATACACACAGACACCTTGGCTTTGGTCTTCATTGCCCTGCATGGGGGGGGGGGCAGTTAACAGCAAAAAACAAACAAACAAACAGTCGCCCGGGACGGTGGAACGAGAGGCAAGGAGATCCAGGTACTGGCAGAGAGTGGCCTGAGGTCGGAGCGGCAGCTGGCCGTACTGGGCAGTCTGGAGAGCAGCAGTTCAGGGCCTAAGGAAGGCAGATCGTGCGTCACGGGGCCGGCTCCGCGGGCGGGGGCCGCCAGGGGGAGCCCGCGCGGCCCGGGCACCAGGAGCGTGCCAGCTGAGCTCCGGCGGGCGGCCCGTGGGGGGCGCCGTCGTGGGGTCGGGCCGTGAGGAGCAGGGCGGCGACGCTGCTCTCCCAGGATGGAGGCCTGGAACGCCGCGCCCCGCTGTGCCCGCACCCGTGCCCCTCTGCTTCTGCCCCTGCTGTTGCTGCTGCTGCTGCTGCTGTGGAGACCCCCAGGTAAGCCCCGCTCTTGCTCTCCCCAACGCCGGTCCGCACCCCTCACCTCCTCATCCCCTCACCCCCTCACCCTCTCCATGTCCTTCCACAGGCTGCTCGGGCACCCTTGACACCACAGAAGCATCGGCCGTAACCATTTTGGCCACCCAGGACAAACCCAACGTGACCTGCACCCTCAACACCAGCTGTTTGTCAGACAGTCCTCCAGTGCGCCAGCCGGACCCCCAGACCTCACCTGAGACTACGGTCCAGGTGTTACATTGTGAGTCCAGGGGTCCCGGTGGGATTACTGCCTCAACCCCTGCTCCAGCTTCTGACCTGGTCTGTGCCTGAGCTAGGCCTGCTGCCAAAGGTCCCACTTCCCCCTATCCACAGGGTCAGGGTGGCTGTGGGGACAGAACCCTTGAGCCAAGTTCTTTGAGAGCCCTGTAGGAAGCACTCACGTGAAACCCAGAGGCCAGGGCTGGGCCAGGAGCCCAGAGCTCAAGCCAGCCTCCTGTGCAAGTGGCAGGGACCCCAAGCACTACAGCTAGCGCCTGCTACCTCCCAGGACCCATGCCCCTGATTGCGCTGCCACAGAAATTCTCTGACCCAGGACCTGCCCCGTCCATGCCATCCACTTTAGCCCACCTGCTCCTGTCCCCGGTAGGAAAACACTGGGACGCTGGCCAAGTACATCTCCAATGGAAAAGCTGTTGCCAAAACTCTCCTTGACAGAGGAGTTCCCCAGCAGCAGTGGGCACTTGTTCTGGACAGGAATACACACCACCCCCTGCCTGGCATCGCATGTGCTTAGTTTGCAGGCAGGTGGCATGGTGTAGAGCCTCAGGAATTTAAATCTGAGGTCAGGAGTGAGACACACGGACAAGTCGCTGCTTGGGATGTCTGCACCTCCACACCCCATATTGGAGTTCCTAGTTTCTGTCCCAGCTGTTCTGCTTCTGATTCCATTCCCTGCTGATGTGTGTGGATGATGATTCTCTCTCTCTGTCTCTCTCTCTCACTTTCTCTGCCTTTCAAATACATAAAATGAGGACAGTGGGGGCAAATCAGCTTTTGTGGCCACTGCTGCTGGGTCTCCTGCTCAGGCTGGGGCTGGGTGCACAGGTTGCCCACCTTTCTCTGGCTGAGCCACAGGAGAGGGTGCTGAGGGTGGGTCTGGATGGAGTGCCCAATGAAGGGTCTAGAGGGTACTGCGAGGGCTGGGTGGCTGGAGGAACCACTGGGGTCATGGGCTGGTCAGCAGGGGTCACCAGCCTGGGCTTTGGGGCCAGGGAAAGGGACACTTGGGCAGTGGCAAGGTCTGTCTGAGCACAGACTCACCCCCCTCCTCCCGCCACCTGCCACCACCCTGTCCACACATGCGCAGCTGCAGGGCGTAACAGGAGTGTTGTTAGTCGAGGCAGCCGAGGTGGAGGGGAGGCTGGAGGAGGGGCTGTGCCATTGGACGTGACCGTATCCCTCCTCAGGCTCCTGTCTTCCTCCTCAGCCTGCGGTATCTCCAAGGAGCGGGACCCCACCCTCAGGGACCCAGAGGCCATGGTCCGGCGGTGGCCGTGGATGGTCAGTGTTCGGGCCAATGGCTCTCACATTTGTGCTGGTACCCTCATTTCCTCCCGGTGGGTGCTGACTGTGGCCCACTGCCTGATTAAGTGAGTGGGGGACCCTGGTGGGGGAGGGGAGAGGTGGCCCAATTACCCTGCAGGGCTGGTCCAGCATTGTCATCTGTGCCCTCTGTGGAACTTGCTGCCTAAGCCCCAGCCTCTCCCTGGCTGTGAACTAGTCGATGGGCGGGAGGGGGCTGAGTCCCAAAGAAATCTTCTGGGACAGTCCTTGAGTACCCACCTGGTCCCTCGGGAACCCATTTTGGGAACAGACCCTGCTCTTCCATTTCTGCCCCTTTACTGCCACCAACTGAATCCCCCTTTCATCACAGGCATGTGAGTCAGCCTGGCCCCAGGTGTGGGGGGGTGGGGTCGGGAGATTGGGGGATTTCGCTCAGACCCAAGGCAGGTGGTCCTGGGGCGCAGGACACACAGCAGGTGTGTGTGGGTATGTCGGGAGTGAGGGGCATGGCAGAGACATATGTACCAGCCTCCAACACCAAGCAAGGCACCCACCAGGACAGGCTCGGGAGCTGGGGTACACGCTTCAGCTCTGCTGCTTCCTGGTGACAGTGTAGCTCCGAGCAGGGCATGGGGCTTCTGTGTACACGTTTCTCCCTCCGTAAGGTGCAGGGCTGTCGTGAGGACTGGCAGCAGTGTGGGTGGGTGCCCACCTTAGAGGGACGGGCTGGGGCTGATGGTACACTTCCCTCCCCACCCCGGGAGGCACTCCTCAGGAAGGACGTCCACTACACGGTGCAGATGGGGGCCCCGTGGTTGAATCGGAAGGCAGACACCATCTCTGAAGTCGCCGTGACCCAGGTCATAGTGAACAGCAGGTTCCGGGCCCAGCGATACTGGTCCTGGATTGGCCGCGCCAATGACATCGGCCTCCTCAAGCTGCAGCGGGCCTTCATGTACAGCAAGTACATCTGGCCCATCTGCCTGCCTGGCACTGACTTCGCTGTGAAGGAGCAGAGAGTGTGCACCGTGACGGGCTGGGGGCTTTCCAGCGACAACAGTGAGTCAGTGCCGCCACCCCACCCCACCCTACTCCTCCTGCAGGGACTGGTCCATGGGCGGGCATTTCTGTAATGCTGTTGTAATGCACGGAGGCCTCCTTTCCCTCAAAGGCCTCAGTAGTGAACACATCCTGGCTGCTTGGGCCTCAGGGAATGCATACTGCCCACACACGACTCCAGGGCATCAGGCACATGCAGCAAAGCTGAGCAAGAGGGACAGGGAATGCGCCTGTGTGACGCCTCACCCCTAGGGAGTCACGTGGGGTCATCTTGTGGCCCTCAACACCCTCAGGACCCTCAGTCTCCTCTCTGTGCAGTTGGGGAGCAGGCCTACCCAGGGTGCTATGCCTGCTGGGTCTTAGGAATGCCCATTTCCTTTAGGGAACCCCCAGCCCACCAGAGAGAAGCCCCTCCCTGTGACCTAAAAGCATATCCCTGGGGGCCTCCAGCCCATGTGGAGGGAGTAGAGGGTGAGGACTGGCCTACTGATCTAAAGTGCCCTGTCTCCTAGGAGCTGAGGGCAGGGAAGGAGACCCCTGGGATAGAGCTGGCCCCTGGCTCCATGCAGGGGGTCTGGGAGAAGTCAGGGTGGGAGAGGGGAAGAGGCCTTTGCAGAGGACATGAATAACAGGAGGGCTGTGACCCTGAGCAAGACCAGCCAGGCACTCCAGGAGCGATGGAGTGACCAAAGTGAGATGCCCAGGGAGTGAAGGAGACCTTAGGGGACCCCGGGGGATTGGGCTCTGCAAGAGGGGGAGACCAGATGTGAGAAAAGCAAGTTGTGGGGGCAGTCTGCCGCAGGCTCTGTGCCCATGCCAGCTCAGACTGTGGCACAGCGTCCAAGGAGGTCCCCAGGTTGTCCATGGCACGTCCAAGAGGCTGGGGGCAGTGCACGGAGAAGCTCAGTGAGCAGATGGGAGCAGGGTGGGCGGCAGTGAGGGACCAGTCCTGAACAGGAGCCTCTGTCTCATAGGCACACAGCCCCAGTACCAGACCATTCAGGAGAAGGAAGTCACCATCATGAGCACCAAGGAGTGCGAGACCTTCTACCACAGGTTCTCCAGAATGCCCAGGGTGGTTCGCATCGTCAACCCCCAGATGCTGTGTGCCGAGGACAAGGACAGGGAGGAGTTCTGCTATGTGAGCTTGCTCCCTGCTCGCCCTCCTCCAGGCGCACCTGGTGGGGTGGACCGGGGGTGGGGGAAAGGAGAAGCTGCCTGAAGGATCCATTGGGTGTGCCCCAAGCTGAGTCCCCTCCCCTACCAGGTCTCACCTTGCTCCTGATCTTCTGTGTCCTCCACCCGTGCCCGCAGGAGGAATCTGGCGAGCCCCTGACCTGCCTCTCAGGGGGCACATGGTACCTTCTGGGCATGGTGAGCTGGGGTGCAGGCTGCAGCAAGAGTGAGGCCCCGCCCATCTATCTGCAAGTCTCCTCCTACCACAAGTGGATCTGGGACATTATCAACAACCAGCAGCCCCGGAGCCCACCTGCCCCCTCCAGGGCCCGGCTGCTGGCACTCCTGCTGCCTCTCAGCCTCCTCCCTGCACTGTGTCACTGAGCCGGCTGCCCCTGCCCTGAGCATGGACGGCTCTCAGAACCCCATGAGGCAAGATGGAAGTCAGGTGCCCAATTAAATGCTTTTCTTTCCCAGGGCTGCCTTCTTGCCTGCACAGGAAAACAGGATGGTGGTGGACTGGGGCCTTGGGACAGCTTATGCTGAAAAGTGTACACCCCCCAGCCCCCAAGGTCTATCTCTGACCAAGGGCTCAGGGCAGGAGTCGGGTGGGGAGAGGGGGCAGGGATGACACCAGGATCAGCTGATGGAGAGCCTAGAGTGTACTGTCAGGACACAGCTTGAAGCTGGGCAAAGGGCAGAGGATCAGGTGCTCCCTGACTATGGCTGCCTTTCAGACACCAAAGAGCCCTCGGGCATGCTGACCCTCTAGTTAGGTTACTGCCTGGAACCCAGGACCGGCACCTGCTGGGATCAGGCAGGATCCTTGTGAGTAGGCCACACCAGCCCACCAGGGTTACCGGAAGCCAGGGGCCAGGACTGGGGGTGGCTGTCCACCAGACTCTACCCGCTGCTGTCTAGAGTGCCCACTGGGCTCATGCTGTCTGAGCTCCCTGGAGACTCACAGCCTGCGTGGGCAGCATGACCACTATGAGAAGCCCATGGGCCAGGCTCCAGGGCAGAGGGTTGCCCCAGCTTGGGGTGCGAAACTCGGAGCCTTCTCCCATGCCCGGCCTTCCACATCTCTGCCGCTCAGGCCCTATGCTCCTCCCTCCCGTCAGCTTGGGCCACCACCCCCGTGTTGTGCTGACCTGGGTCCGTGTGACTCAACTCTGAGCTTCCAGCCACTAGAGCAGCAGGCAGCTCCCTCCTCAGGCTGAAGCCTGCCTCTCCGACTTGGGCACCCCATTCAGGAGCCAGGGAGGGGACATCAGTCTGGCCTGAGCCACCTGTCACCATCACTAGGCCACTTCCCACATCAATACCCCAGGGACGTAAGTGTGAGTGCAAGTGTATGTGTGAATCACTATGTGAGAGCATATGAAGCATCTGTGTGTATGTGTGTGAAAGCACGTGTGTGAGTACATGTGTATGTGCGACTGTGAGAGCATGTGTGTGAGTGCATTGTGTACATATGTGTACATGTGTGCAAGTGCATATATGTATGTGTATGTGTAGGTGTGAGCGACTTGTGTGAGAACATGAGTGCATGTGTGTGTGTGTGTAGGTATAAATACATGTGTGAGTGCATGTTCGTGTATATGTGTGTGTGTACGAGTGAAGGCCTTCACCTCGTCCACCTCTGGAAGCTACTTCCCTGCAGGCTGGCGTCTCTGTCTCCCATGTCTGTGGGACTTTGCATGCAGCAGGAAGCCCCTCCACCAGGATTTAGCCCCTGCCAGCCCTGTGGCCTTCGGTGTGGGTCAGAAACAATGGAAAGGAAGCTATGTGCTGTTTTATTCAGTAGGCGGTAGATGCATGGATGCCAACCTGGGCAGAGACCCCAGCAGGCATGGACAGGGGCATGGGGACAGCCACAGGGCCCCCTGGATGCATGCCAGCAGGCCCAGGACCCTGTTTCTTCCCTGCTCCCATAGCCTTTCTCTGGCTCCTCTGGGCTGGAACCCTGGCCAGGAGGGGCAGTCTCCTGGTAGCTGTCTGGCCCGGCCGGAGGCCCCTGTCCCGGCTGTCCCAGTTCTTCCTGCTCACAGTCAAGCTGGGGGTGACCTCAGAGTCCCACACTGGGCCACTCGATCACAGCCACTGCTGTCCCTTGCAGAAAGGTTGGACAGAGGCCCGTCTGGGTGGGGAATGTAGTGTGTGCTCTGCAGAGGGACAATGGCACAGGGCCCCCTTTGCCGAGCAGAGTGCCCACAAGAGGGCATGAGAGCAGTGGGGTCCGGGCAGATGCCTGCTGGGCTCTGAGGACACAACTGTGGGCTTCCACCTCTGGCCTGCTGGGGGCCGTGCATGAGCTGGGAGCTGGCCTGTGGACTGAATTCCAGGGCAAGCCAACCCTGCTGCCACCTGCAGGACACACTGCTCACTTCTCCCCTTTCTTCTTCTTGGCCTCATTCTTCTCATCCTCTTCTACCTTGATGGCCACTGTGTCCACGCTGTCCTTCTTCTTCTTCTTCTTCTCCTCTGTGGGGAGGGGGAGAGGCTAGGCAGTGACCATGAGACCTGAGCCCCGCAGGGCCCCTGCATCCTGGCCTGTCCTTGGCTCCCTACCGTGCCAACCCTCCACCAGCCACCTCTTCTGTGCAGAACAAACAGCCTCCTGCTGTCATCACCTCCCTCTGACTGTCTCTGTGTGGGATCTCCTGGCCACCCTGAGCCTGCCACAGGCTGAGAGAGGAACACAGACACTCCCGGCCACATCCCTGAGAAGACTGGCTGGCTAATGTGGCAGCGGCATGGGACAGTGGCCGGGGCTGGCCAGGGCCCACTCACCTCCCGGGATCTCTGTGAGTTCATTGAGTGGCGGCACGGTCTCCAGCTTGTCCGTATACATCTTGGCCGCCTTCCGCTGCAGGTAGCGGGCTTCGATCTCCTTCCGGGTACGTGGCACACGGCAGTTGAAGATGCAGCACAGGGTGATAACTGCAGGAGGGACAGGTTTGGTCTCCAGGGAGCAGCTGGGACAGGTGCCATGCATAGACAGGCCAGGCTGGGTTGCCGGCTTTGGCAATTGCTCCACAGAGTTTACACAAGGGACCTTGCTTTTTCCATCGTGGCTTGGCCCCTGTGAGATGGGCAGCCAGCCCCAACCCTGAGGGTCTCACCCTTTGGGATAGGGGTCAGGGTGGGGCACAGCTTGCCTAGTGTTGGGGCTCCCTAGGGCCTGTGGGACTACTCCCTGGGCAGCCATACATCTCCTCCTCAGGCTCCAGGGAGCCGGGCCTGAGCTGGCTCACACCCCCATGGACGTGACCGCATCCCCAGCCTCCCTGAGGATTCCCACTGGCCCGGGAGGGAACGTGTTGTGCGAGGGCCCAAATTCTGGCCAGGGCGTTCACCTCACACAGAGCTATTCCAGGAGTGGGGTGCCAGCCAAGGGCTTGCTGCGTCCACAGCAGTTGTGCCAGGGCATGGAGTTGGCCTGTGCGACAAGAGGCAGGGCAGGGCAGGGCTGCCAGGACCTGGCTGGCTCAAGCTTGTTTGTCTAAGCCCCCACAGTCTGACCACCTTGACCCCAGCCCCAGGGGGAACGAGGGAGCTGCTTCCTATAATAAATCAGATGACATAACTTCCTGGCAGCCGGCAGCCGGCAAGGCAAGCCAGGCCTATTTTGAGGTGTCGAACCAGACCTGTGTAGTCTGGGCCAGAGCGCCCCCCGAAGTCACCTCGTGCAGCCAAAGCAGTGGTCGTTCAGGCAGATACGAGGGTCCCTCAGAAAGCTCATGGAGGAGGAACTGAAAAGCTCAGTTTATTTTGGTGCAAAAAACAAACAAAAAAACAAAGGAATGTGGGAAAATGTGTATCATGAAAAAAGGACGCAAGTATTTCAAGGAAAGTTTGCACCAAGATAAACATCTCACAATTCCATTTCGCATGGTTTTTTTGGATGTTTCCTCATGGTGTGGTCCCATTTGTTCTCTCCCAGACCCTTAGAAGGAAAAAAAAAAAAGTGAACAATTGAGTCTCTGGGATTGAGTGTCTCAAGCTGGGACCAGGACCAGGCTCCTGAGTAGGGGACTGGAGAGTCCAGCACATCTGGGCACCTGCCATGAGGGCTGCTGTAGTCTGTACACCACTAGCAGGGTGAGGGGGTGGTGGAGGTGATGGGACCAGATGGCATACCTTTCTCATCCCAAAGCTGGACTTGGGTCTCCTCCAGTTCTGTGTGTGTGTGTGTGTCTGTGCCCAAGACCCAAGGTTAACCCCCGACCTTGACCCTACTGGCTCCTGTGCCTTATCCTTCCTCCCACTTCACTCCCCCGACTCTGGCACCTTCTCAGAACTAGGCCCACTCAGTCTCCATGGAGGCTGGTCCCAGGCCTCAGAGGCTGAGATTTCAAAGGGAGCTGAGCGGGCAGCTGCTGGGAGGCCGCAGAGCCAGGCTCAACACCACCACCCTCACCGTAGGCCTGTCCCACCCCGCCTTTGCGCTCTTCAAACAGAAGGCTCAGGGATAGAGTTCTGGGGCCCAGGCAGGGGCTGAGGGACACCAGCTGCTGGGCTGAGGAAGGCACTCCATGTGATGCAGCCCCTCTGCCCATGGGTTCTGAGGTGCAGTGGTACCGCGGAGGCCCAGGCTGACCAGGAACTGGGACTGTGTGACCAGAAGCAGCAGGTTTTGAGCACTGCCCAGGGGCTGTTGGGCCTCAGCAGTAGAGCTGGCCTGGGTCTAGGATGGGGGCGCCTCTTTGGGTCTGCAGCTGCTCAGCCCGTTGGCTCAGGGCCCTCACACTTGTTTGGTTAGGATTACTCAGATGAGGTGTGTGTTGGGGGCGGGGAGGGGAAACGCTCCTGGTGCCAGGAGCAGCTCACACAATTCAGATGTCACATATCTGGCTTGGAGCCCACACATCTGGACCGGTCCCATGCTGGCCATCCTGCCCTCTGGGAAGGCTCCAACTGGACCCTCAGTGCAGTGTTGGTCCCCCAGGGGTCACCCCATGATCTTATGTCCCCAGCCTCTGCTCCCACCCCACCCAGGTTTGGGGATGCCTTTCCCGGCTGGAGTTTGTGGGGTGGGGGTTCTTCTGCTCTCGCTGCCTGCACCCAATCCTCATCTCCCAGGTAGTCTCCCTGGCCTGCCCGCCTGCTGTGCTTTCCCAGGGCCCAGACCCCCATGCCGGGGAAGGATGGCACTGAGCTCACTTTTGCCGCATGCAGCTTTGCACGTGGAAGACCCCAGCAAAGCACCAACCTCCTGCTTTTAACTGAGGCGGCCGTGAGTCATCCACGCCCGGGAAACAGTGTCTGACAAGGCAGTATTCAAAGCCCAGGAGAACCCCCATCTGTGGGACATCTCGGCAGGAGGGTGGCCTTGCTCGGGGCCCTGGGCGTGGGCCCTTTAAGCTGGCCCGACTGCAGGAAAAGCATCAGGAGGCCAGGCAGGAGGGAAAAATGACACGTCCTCCTCCTCCGGTTCCCTATAATTACTGTAATTGCCCTGCGGCTGCCTCCCTGGGGCCGGCAGAATGCTTTGGGTCACCACTGTCCCATCAGCCCTCCACGGGGGACCTTGTGTGCATCAGAAGGTGCCAGAAACTACCACACAGGTCTCCTGTGGGTGTCCAGCCAGCTTGAACTGTGGGCCCGGGGTTGGGGACATGGGACGTAGGGGTGCTGTGCTCCCACTGCACAAGAGAGAAGGCATGGGCAGCTACTCACTGATGGACAACACGAAGAGCGAAAAGATGCCCACCACGTGCCACAGGCGCATGTCCCAGAATACCACCGTCTCCTTGGTCAGCGGGGGCGGCTTGGACTTGGGCGGAGCTGTGCTGGGCTGTGGGTCAGGAGAGAGGCGGGTGAGCAGGCAAGCAGAGGCCAGGCGGGCTGGGACTGGACCACAGGGGCCCGGGGTCCCAGTCCAAGCATCTCCCAGTCCCCTCTAATCAAGCATCCCGGTCATCCACAGCCAACAGCCTAGACCTTGGAAAGTTCCAGATTTAGAATGAGAGAACTGAACTCCAGACTACAGAGTCGGGGGGCTGGCAATGGAAGAGTGGCTGATGATCCCAGAAACCTCAGGGTTTCCCTGCTTCAGCCCTAACCCCTCTCCCATTAAGGCAGGTGCAGGTGGGGTTTCAGAACCAAAGCCAGAGACAAGGCCAGGCCAGGGCTGCATGGGGACAGACTGTATGTTTTTATTCTGCCAGTGGGGTCTGGGAGTGGAGGTAGGAGTCAGGGCCCTAGGATCCTTCCACTCATCTGTGACATGCCCTGGGTAGCCTCTTAAGATGGGCCTGCTCTACTCAAAGTCACTTTGGGTCAGGAAAGGACCACCTAGTAAAACTGCAGTGCAATAGCGACACCTGGAGGCCAAGGCATAAAATGTGTGTTGGAGCCTGAGCCAGGCACAGCCACCTCCCAGCCTCCCGGTGCTACTTCGTGAAAGCGCATGGCTGTGTGGGGAAAGTGGGGCTTAGGCCTCTTTCCGTGTCTATAACAGGAATGGATGGCTCCAGACGTCCCCCGGCTGGGGGGGGGTGGACATTGACAGGAGGACCCCCATACTCTGCAGCATGCTGCCCGATGCACAGGTGGGCCCAGGCGCAAGGACACACGTGTGGGGTTGGGCACATATCTATACGTGGCAGGATCCCTGGATCCCCAGGCTCAGTGTGTGGGCCTGACAAGGCTGTAGGACTAGAAGGCTGCAGGAACCAAGGTCAAGTTCTCTGACTTCACAGGGTGGGAGACGAGTCCTCCGCTCAGAACCGACTTGACCCTGGCCCAGCCCCGGCTTGTACCCATGCATGGCCAGCTCCGTTCAGCATCAAAGGCCTCCAGGGTCCAGCCTGCTCGTCTATTCTTTCAGGGACACCAGAGCTGACACCTGACTCCGGCCCAGCCTCCTGGACACGCCCCCTGGTCAGCAGCAGCAGGCAGGCACAGGCCTCGCTGGAGTGCAGGGCCCTGCCCCCATGTCCCCCTCAAAGCCCCACTCCAGGCCCGTGTCTCCTCTGTCACCTGTCTTCTCTGCCCCCATCCTGTCCCCCTCTGCCCCCATGCACAGCTGGGCCCCTCTGTCCTCACGTCTCCCCGGCCCTGGGCTTCCTCCCTCTGGCCTGGCAGTGACCTGATGTCCACCTCCTTTCTGGTTCAGCAGGAGTGGGGTGCAGAGGAGGCCTGGAACATTGCAGGTGTTCCTGATCAACACCCCCATCTTCCAGATCTCACTCTCCTTGCCCCTGCCAAACCAGAACACCTCACCAGGCAGCCCAGCTCTGAGACCTCCCAGAGACCCCCTGGATCACCAGGGATGAGTCAGACTCCGCCTCTTGGGCTCCACCCCAGCCAGGGCTGCTTCCTCAGCCCCACCTCCATCCCAGGGCGACGCCTGTCTTCCCCCTCCCCAGACTGGATCCCTAGGAAGTTAGGAGGCACAGGCCACTTCCCAAGAGGCAAGGTCAGGGTCCAGATCTCCCCTAGGCCACCTGTGTCCTCCAATTCAAAGACAGAAGCCTGGGGGAACCCGGAGCTCTGCAGGGTGCACCTCTCCCGCAGACTTTGAAAGGGAAACTGGGGGCGCTGAGATTGGGGTCCCCCCCCCAGGCTCCCCGAGGCCGGGCGGTGCTGGGCTCCCCTCCCAGGACACCTAGGGGTAAAGCCAGCCTCTAACTCCAGCCCATCCTCACCCCCCACCCCCCGCGCGCCGCCCAGCCTCACCTCCACCAGCTGCCCGGCGACCCCCGCGAGGCAGATGCCCAGCGCCGCGCCGCCCAGCGCCCAGAGGGGCCCCATGCCGGGCCACGGCCGCGCCATGTTCGCGGCGCCCTCGCGCGCGGCTGCGGCCGCCCAGGGGAGCCGGGTGATGCCCCTGGCCAGCCAGGTGGCGCTCAGGAGCGGCGGCGGCGAGCTTCGGCGCGGGCGGGCTAGCGGGCATCATTAATTCATCATGAGTGTCGGATTCCTGTGCCAGCCGTCCGCATCCACACTGCGGGTGGGGCAGGAAGGCTGCGGACCCCCTCCGGCCCCGGGCACACAGCAGAGGTGCGGGCGTGGAAGTGACGGGGGAGGGTAGGCAGGGGCGCCACAGGTGGGGGCGTCAGCTCCTGCATCAACAGGTCCCCCTTTCTTCCCCAGTCGGGAGCAGGCGAGGGGCTGGCCCTCCTCGCCCTGAAGTTGGCCTTTGAGAAATGGACTGGAAGTGGGGAGGGGGGAGGTCCAGAGCCCGGGTTGCCATGGTGACAGGCGCTCAGGGATGTCCTGGGCTTGCTGGCCTGGCTTCCTGCCCAGAGGCGGCTCTGGTCACTCCGGGCACCAGAGCTGCTAGGGATGGGAGAGGGAGGTGGAGTGGGGAGCAACGGTTGGTACAGCGATGCCATCTGCTGAGGCTGTGGAAGGTTCCTGAAGTCACCGGACGTCCTCCGCCCTGTGGGAGAGGGTGGGCTGAGACGTAACTCTGAGCTCGGCTTGTGATAGTGGCCCTGATCTCTGGTGGGGCCTGACCCAGGCTGCAGCCATGACCAGCCCCGGTGTGCAGTGGGGTTCTGAGGGTGAGGAGTGCAGAGGCAACTCACCAGGGACAGCTGCGCAGGAGCAGATCATCTGGTGCTCCTCCACAAAGCGTGCCTTCAGAACCGGCGACCCTGAGGAGTCAGGGCTGCTGAGGCCTCCTAGGAACAAGACTGACAGCAGCGGGAAGCAGAAGGCAGGGCAGGAATCAGGATCCATGTTGGCACAGGGTGCCCATGAGGAGACCCTCGCGGATGGGCTGGTCATCCCATCCTCCTCAGGAAGCAAGCAGGAACTCTGCTCAAGCCCAGGGCACCCCACAGCTCCGCGTCCTCCACTCCCTCAGGCCAGGTTGGAGGAAGCTAGCCTGAGCAAGGTCGCGGCTGGACACATGGCCAGGGAGGTCAGGCTGTGCTGCTGGCCGGTGCTCTTCTTCCCCTGGGCTTCCTGATTACAGAGTGGGGTGGGCCGGCCTGGGGCAGGGGTGAATGGGGGGCACATTTGGAGAGAGGTGCTGGCCCTGCTTCCTGTCAGCAGGGAGGGAATACTTGGCTTTGTTCAGAGTTTGCTCTGTGTGTGTGTGTGTGTGTGTGTGTGTGTGTGTGTGTGTGTGTGTGTCCGTCCCATATTCCCTTAGGATCCACAAAGACCACTGCCCTGCTGGCTCTAGGGCACAGCTGGCTATCATTTACCTCTGTCCCCCAGGCTCCCCACCCAACACAAACACCCTAGCCACCCTCCACCCATCCCTCCATACATGATTAGTTTGTAGGTCCTAAAATAAGAGTGCCCTAAATATCTTGGTGCAGTTTTTAAGCTTTCAGAATGGCAGAAGCATAAAGCTAAAACTCAGTGAGAAACATAATTTGAAATTTTAACATTTGGGGCTGACATTATGGCATTCTAAGTAGTCACTGCCTATGGTACTAACATCCTTCTGGGTGCTGGTTCAAGTCCCGGCTGCTCCACTTCCCATCCAGCTCTCAGCTTACGTACCTGGGAAAGCAGTTGAGCACGGCCCAAAGCCTTGGGACCCTGAACCCATGTGAGAGACCTGGAAGAAACTCCAGGCTCCTGGCTTCGGATCAGCTCGGCCCTGGCCGTAGTGGCTGCTTGGGAATTGAATCAGTGGGTGGAAGATCTTTGTCTCTCCAGCAGGGAACTGGATGGGAAATGGCGCTGTCAGGATTAGAACCAGTGCTCATATGGAATCCCAGTGTGTGCAAGGCAAGGACTTCAGCTGCTAGGCTATTGTGCTGGGCCCTAAAAAATGAATCTTAAAGTATAATGATTTAAATTCCCCCTTGTCACCCTCTGAAGATGGAAAAGTTTGAAGAATAAATAATGCCGTTATCTAAAACTTACAAAAGTAGGTAGCAGAAAGAAAATGTAATTAAACTTTTAATGGTGATTGCTGTCAATTTGTACATTCATGTTTGATAACATCTGAAGTTACGAAAGCTCGACGCTGCACTTGCACTTCTGGCACAGGATCAGAGCTGTGAACCCTCGGGCACCTGCTTAAGTGCTGTGTGCCGCAGTGCCTCACCTGCCAAACAGGTACCCACTTAGGCTCACAGCGCTCGCCCATCACAAGCTTTGATTATGGTGTCATTGTTGTTAAATGCAGTGTAAGATTATGCTCCATAAAAACCACACAAACGGGGCAGGCTCTTGGTTTGGTGGTGAAACCACAATTGAATCCTGTATCCAGTGCCTGGGTTCAAGTCCCAGCTCAGCTCCAGTTCCAGATTCTTGTCCATGCAAACACTGGGAGGCAGGATTCAGGGCTGAAGTAACTGGGTCTCTGCTGCCCACATGGAAGACCCAGATGGAGTTCCTGGCTCTGTCCTGGCCATTGTGGGCAGTAGAGGAGTCATCCCTCCAGCTCACTCGGTCTCATTCTATGCCACTCGCTCTCTCTCAGTCTTCCATGTAAAATACATAAAATAAAATGTAAAGGGCTGGCATCCTGGTGCTGTGCGTTAAGCGTCCATGCCATCTTCCCGAATGGGCTCTTGTTCAAGTCCTAGCTACTTGGCTTCTGATCCAGCTGCTGGGAAAGCAGTGAAAGGTGGCCCAAATACCAGGCTTCTATCAGCCACGTGAGGGACCCAGGTAGAGTTCTGGGCTCCTGGCTTCAGCCTGGCCCAACCCTGGCTGTTATGGAATGAAGCAACAGGTGGAAGATGTCTGTTTCTCTCTCTCTCTCTAGCTCTACCCTTCACAAAAAATAATAAACAAACCTTTAAGAAATACATTTTAAATTTTATTTTTATGTCTTTTTAGAAACAAAGCAGTTCTTCCATCTACTGCTTCACTCCCCACATGCCTGCAACAGTTGGGCTGGGCCGGGCTGGAGCCAAGAGCTAGGAACTCAGTTGGAGTCTCCTACATGGTTGGCAGGGATCAAGCACTCCAGCCATCATCCACTGCCTCCCTGGGTGCCCATGGTCAGGGAACTGGACTCAAATCAGAGGCACTCTGATATGGGAATTCAGACACTCCAGGCCGCGTCTCGACCCTTGTGCCAAGTGTCTGCCGCCAAAAGCACACCAGATCTTAAAAAGAACACTATCTCATTCAGTCGATGTCTTAGGGGCCCACATTTGTTTCTGATTTGCCAGCAGAAAACACCATGTCGAAAGAAACATCTTGCAATCTAACATCTTTTTCATCTTCAAGTGGTTTTGCAACACTTGCTGTAACATCCCCTCTCTTGCTGATTCACAGGGTCTAAAGCCCCAGGAAGGAGCTGGATCCTTCTCAGACATAGGGGCCTCCAGCTCAGTCTTCTGCCCGCTGGCCAGTATGGTTCTAGTCCCTGCTAAGGTTACCAGGTGTCAGGTGAGGGAGCCTGGTTGCCAGAAGGCAGTGTCCGCTCAGTGGAGTTGTGGTGTGGATATGGCCAGCACAAGCCTGTGTGTCCTTCCCTCCTGTACTATTTTTAGCGCCTTTGGGTTTCCTGTGGGGACCAGTGCAACATCCAGGGCTTTGGGGTTGGAAGCTGTTGGGGGTGGGGAGGCAGTGAGCAGTGGTTAGGGAAGAGCTCTTGCCTGAAACCCCAGGGGACTCAAGAGAAGCTGGTGGCAGTGAGTTCAGAACCCCCTCCTTCCCCAATTACAAGAGCAAGCTGAATTTCGGGGCATAACAGGCTCAGCCTGGGGTGGGGGTGGCAGCGGGACGGTCTGAGCCTGGGATACAGTGGCTGTGGTCTGTTGTGAGCTGGCTGTCCCTGGACTTGTTGGCCCCAGGACCAGCCTAGAATAGCTTTGGGGCTGTCAGGCCTGGGTCAGACCTGCGTGTGCACGAGTATGTGTTTGTGTACCAAGGCCCTGGCAGAGGTGGGAGAGTGTGGGCTCCCACCTGAGTCCACGCAGCACTGCTTTCCCCCAGCTACCTGTGAGGAGACTGAGGTCAGGGCGGGGATGGGACCACCCGAAGCACCAGCACTAGGTCCCGTCTGCCCTGCTCAGGCCCTGCCCCACCTGTCCCTGTCTGCTCATCCTCCCTAGCCCACACCCGGGACCTGGAGGATCCACAGGGGTGCTAAGATCCTGTGTGTACTTCAGAGCCCCGCCAACCTGCCATGCCCCCATTTCCCCATCAGAAGCACTGTGACTGCTGGAGGCCACACACTGGCCTTGGTCCACAGCAAGAGGAAGGCAGCCCAAGCTTGTTTTCTAGAACACCTTGCTGCCTCCTCCTGCCCAAAGAGAGAACCTAGAAGGCCTGTGTAAAGCGGAAGGCTCCAGCTCATTCCACTCTTGGGAGTCACGGTCAGCCCTGCTGTGCTGCAAGCTGCGGGAGACCGAGTGACACAGGGCACTGGGGCCTACAGTGGACACAGGGAGCTGACTCGGACCTGGTACCTAGGCGTCTGCCTCTGCCCTCCACCCTCCTGAGACAGGTGCATCTGACTGAATTCCCAGGAAAGGGGACAGGCCACCTACCCCAGCCCTAGGAGGCAAGGAGGCAAGGAGGCAAGGAGGCAAGGAGGCAAGGAGGCAAGGAGGCAAGGCGGCAGCCTTTCCCTGAGGCAGCCTTTGTGGGTGAGGGCAGGTGGATGGAGGTTCTGGGAACAGAAGAGGAAGGGAAGGGACTTTGCGGGCACAGCCCCACAGCCCGGGCTACAAAGGCGCCTTGGCCGTGTGTGGGCTGGGGGAGGGTTTGGGAGAACAAGGTCTTCCCTCTACTCGTTCCAAGGTCGCTGGGCCCTGGCGCAGAACACCGCCAGGCGCCGGTTTCACGCTCCGCAGGGTTCTGCTGAGACACCCGCGCGCGGGGGCAGGCGGCTTCCCAAGGTCACAGGCAGGAGTGGCGGCCGCCTACGGGTCAGGGATCCGCCCGGCGCTGGGTTCGCCTGCGGCTCCAGTTAGCTTGGGGCGGGGCTGGTGGGGAGGCCGGGGCTGCACGGCCCGAGGCCGGCGGGACTTGGTGGGGAAGCCCTGGCTGCTTCTCCACGCCACACTTTCCATGGACCCATCGGGACTTGGGGGTGGAGCGCAGGGCTCGGAGCCCGCCCCCAGCAGTCGGTGCCCGCCCCCTCGCCGCCGCGTCCCGGGAGCGCCAGGAGCTAGGAGGGTGCCTTCCCCGTGGAGACCTGGGCCGAGCTGGGCCCGGCCGGGGGTGCACCAGCGGTGTGCCCGGGCCCCTGTGAGCCACTCCCGCGTCCTCCGTGCGCCACAGCAGCTGCCCGAGACGGGGCGCGCGCCGCGCAGGTAAGGGTGCGGCGCCCGAGGTCGCGCGGTTTGCGGGACAGCCAGGCCACCGGGCTGGACCGGCGCAGGGAGCTACTGTCGGGAGGAGGTGGCCCCAGGCTCGACCGGGAAGCCGAGAAGGTGACGTTGTCCGCCAGGCGGGCTGGAACAGGATGTAGTGTTTTGGTCACTCCGGGGACAGGCAGGGAGCAGGAGGAAAGCGGGGACACGTGCGAGGCGAAGCAAGATGCAGTGGAGGCGGGGCGTGTAGGGTCAGGAGGAGTTTGGAGCAGCTGCTAGTGGCAGGCGACCGGAGCAGAGGCTCAGGTGTGACTCAGGGCCGTCTGTGTGCCCACCGTCCACCTCCTGGCCATGCTAATTGCCTAGGACATCCCGGGCAAAGCCCCCTTGACCAGTAGAACTTTGTGTCCAAACCCGGAAATTCCACAGTAAGTGCCATGGCTGGGTGTGGTCCAGGGGCCTGGCCTGGGAGGGGGAGGGCGAGCCGTTGGCCCTGCCCTGAAGCAGGGACCTAGTGTGGACAGAGGCCAGGAAGGCAGCAAACAGCACAGGCCTGACTCTAGGTTGGGTAACTGACTCACCTGAGCAGGCAGCAACTGGCCTGTCCTGTCCTCACGCCACCCCATGCAGAGCGGCAGAGGTGCAGGGGGCTGGGCCCTGCTGGGAAGTCACTACGTGCCTGGGTGAATCACCCAAGCTGTATGAGCCATTTAGCTCAGGTGAGCTGCTGGGACCAGGAGCCAGCCCTGCAGGTGCAGGCCATGCAGCATTGTGGACCCCTCCTGGGCCTTGACTTGCCCTCCTGCCCAGCCTGCTGTTAATGTACCTGTGCCCTGGCTGGAAGGATCAAGTGAGGAAACCCACTTACTTTTTTTCTTTCTTTTTTTTTTTTTAATTTATTTATTTTTATTGCAAATGCAGATATACAGAGAGGAGAGATAGAAAGATCTTCTATCTGCTGGTTCACTCCTTAAAGTGGCCACAATGGCTGGAGTTGAGTGATCCGAAGCAAGGAGTCAGAAGCTTTTTCTGGGTCTCCCACATGGGTGCAGGGTCCCAAGGCTTTGGGTCGTCCTCGACTACTTTCCCAGGCCACAAACAGAGAGCTGGATGGGAAGTAGAGCAGCCAGGACATGAACTGGCACCCATATGGGATTCCAGCACTTGCAAGGCAAGGATTTAGCTACTGAACCATCACGCTGGGCCTGTCCTCATCTGTCAGTGTGGCTGGGAGTGGAGGGGTCACCCTTCAGGGCACCTATCCATCCTGTCAGTTTCTGGAATTTCCCTGCTGTGCCTCAGTACCGGGTTGAGCTCCCTGGGTCTGCTCAGGCTGCCCAGGAGCCCCCTGCACTTCATCAGATGCTCAGGGCCTGGGGCCACCCTGAGGACCAGCAGAGAAAGGAGGTGGCTACAGCTGGGCATCCAGCTGCTTCCCCTTCCTGCCGCTCCTCAGCAGGAAAGGTGGGGCAGGAATTCCTGGGCCTGTACTCTTGGCTCTTGGCCGGGATTCTGAGGCACCTCCCTGCTCTGCTCCTGTGCTAGCTGCCTGGGAGTGCTGGGTTCTGCTGGGAGCCTAGGTGCCCCTGCAACATCCTTGGAGAGTGGTGGGGAGGGCTGAGGCCCTGCCCGTTGGCCCTTTGGGGTTTGCCTGGGTCACTTGGCCATTGCTGGCTGGCTGCCTTGGATGTCCCTTGTCCTGCCTAGGCCGGCCAACTCTAGAGCCTAGAGAGTGTCAGAAGTGAGCCTGCCCTGACAGCTCTGGGTGGGCCTTGTGGGCAGGTGCACGGCTTTGCCAGGTGAGGGCACAGGTCCAATGGGAGAGTGCCTTGTCCTCCTGGGGGCCAAGCCTTGACTCTGGGGCTGGGCTGAGCTCAGGCTCCATTCAGGACACCGTTCTTGGCTGATCCCTGCCTGCTTTGAGGGTCCCCCAAGTCTGCATATGCCCCTACCCCCACCTGAGTGAGGCCCAGTGGTGGGCTCAGCCTGTTTGGGGAGGTGCGGGAGGGTCTCGACTGCCCCCCGCGTTGGCTGCTCACTACCATCTCCTTTACCATATGCTTCCCATGTGTGGCTTTGGGTTCTACCTCTGCCTTGCTCTGACATCGCCTGGAACTCCTGACGGCTGACTGCCAGCCTGTTAGGGTGCCGCTCAGTGGGCAACCCTCAGGGGCCAAGCCCTCCCATCCCGTAGTCTCATGTCCCTTTCACATATTCCATGTCCTCACTTTCTCTTGTCTCACCCGTGGCTCCGGCACGAAACCCCCTGGGCCAAGGCTTTGAGGACAGCCCTGGTCATAGATGTTGACACAGATGTCACCTGAGCACTTGGGATCCACGGTGGGGGTTTGACCAAAGGATAGAGCCTATCTCACCTGGGCTTGACGAGCCCTCTGCCCTTTTGGGTAGAAGGGGAAGTGTTCCTCTGTAATACTGATCCTTTCTACCAATTTTTTCAGCACCTGCTAAATGCGCCCAGGCAGGGGGCAGGGCAACTCTGGGGCCAGTCCAGGGACTTACCTGGGCTCCTGGCCCAGCTCTCATGCCAGTGGATGAAGGGCCGTCCTCTCAGGAATGCAGGTCTTGCCCTCACCCATGCCATGTGGGCTCTGAGCTGTGCCCCCCTCCCAGGAAGGAGCCCGTGCACCCAGCTAGCTGGTCATGTGCAGCCCCCCGGAGACCGCCCTGCTGCAGCTAGAGGAGGTCTTCTTGGCCACCCTCGCCCGTGTCAACAGCCTTGTCCTCAAGCCTCTGCTCTTGGCTGGTAAGTCCTAGCCATCCAGGGGGATGGCAGGGAGCGTGTGGAATGATCCCAGGAGCAGGAGCCTGACCTTGCAGGACCCTCTGAGCCACAGCTTTCACATTCTCATGTGGGCATAATGAAGCTGGCATCAGTCTTCTAGGGGAACAACCCAGGCCCCTAGGCTGGCTTGGCTCCTTTTGCTAAAAACCTCGAGGGCACAGGCCATGAACCTGGGCTTGTAGCCCAGAGCCTGGTGTCGGCCCTCTGTCTTCCATTTGCCCCGTGCCCCATGCACCCACCCAGCACAGTACAGCAGGTGCTGCTGGGAGAAGCCTGCCTAGAAGACAGGCTACCAGGGCCTGGCCGCCAGCCAACATCCACTCTCCCTGGGGTCTCTGTACCTGTGGAATGGCAGCCCGACCAACTGAGGTCCTGTGGAGCCTCTGCCCTGGCTGGGTTCTGGGAGTGGGGTGGGGTAGGGCACCAGTCCTGCCCCCAGAACCCAGCTGTATGTAGCTCAAAGCCTGGCTGTGCTCCCGTTCCAGCTTCAGAACCTTCTGCGGAGCCCCAGAGCCAGGAGTGCCTGCAGCTCTTGGAGCAGCTGCATGGGAGCACCCAGCAGCTCTGGGCTGTGACAGAGGAGAGCCTGCGCTCACTGCAGGAGCGGCTGTGCCACCCTGACTCGGCAGGCCTGGAGTCCCTGTTGCTGCTGCGCCATGTTGACCGGGTCCTGCAGGTGCACATGGAGTAAGGCGGGGCTGGCCATCACCTTGGGGGATGGTGGTACTGGGGTTACTGGCTCCCCACCCTGGAGGTGCTCGCCTTAGTCCGTGCTTCAGCAGAGATCTGGGTTTAACCTAGATGGGTGGGTCATACCTGGGTGCAGGTGTGAGCCTGGTGGCAGCTGACTCTGACACACTGCACCTGAACCTCTGGGGTGTCCCCCCTATAGGAAGAAAGACTCTGTGTTAGCTCTGTTTGCGTGGGTCAGGACTTGAGGCCAGCAGCACCCAGAACTGGGCCACCATCTGGGCCCGCAGGACTATGACTGCTCAATGGGTGGGATCTGAAGACCCCTACAGAAAGGCAAGGCGTGGGTGAGGAGTTGGGAGGCTGTGCCAGCAGGTGGCACCTCTGCTCCCCTCAGGTACATCGAGTCCTACACGAACTGCCTGGTGATGCAGGCTTTTCAGAAGGCAGCAAAAGGAAGGAGGTGAGTGCAAGCCGACCGACGTCTATACCATGCAGCAGGAAGGGGACAGGCCGGGGGCTTCCGTACTTGGGCTCTGGGTCAGCATCAGGGCTGGGCCTGGGACAGTAGCCAGGACAGGTAGTGGGACTAGGGCGCTGGGCTGGAGGAGGGAGGGCAGGGGTGACACATGCCCCCCTCTACCCACAGGGAGTACTGGCGGGGCCGACGGAAGGCACTGCAGCAGCTGCTGTGGAGCATGAATGCCGAGAGCTCAGCGGGCACAATGCTGGTACAGGCCCTCCAGCAGCCCCTGGTGCACCACGTGCAGCAGTGTGTGCTGCAGCTGCTGAGTCTCAGTGGTGTCATTGGGGAGGTGGGTACAGGGGTGGGGTAGGGGTTAGGCTTGGGGACCCAGCTCTTAGGATGCTGGTCCCAGATGCCCCCTGTGAGCAGCAGGGTGGACTCTGGATATCGGCCTCTTGAACAGCTGGGGTCAGGGCAGCTGTCATGGGTTTGGGCAGGGTAAGGTGGGAGAGAGGGAGAGGAAGGTTCCAGCAACACTCCCCCCAACACACACACTGGCTGCCCCCACCTCTGCAGCATCACCCGGCCCGGGAGCTGGTGGTGCACGCGGCCACCGTCTTTGGGAACCTGCAGTCGTACATGCAGCAGGCTCTGGACCAGGCCGAGGCCACACGGAGCCTGTGGCACAGTCTGAGTGGGCAGCTGTGGGTGAGTGGGGACCTGGTAGGGGGTTGGGGAAGGGGCAGAGGGCTGCTGTGTGACTTAGTCTGCTTGCTGTAGGTATGACCCCACCTGGAAGAGGGTGGAGGTGGGTGGCTCTAAGGCAACTGCTGGGCTAGCCCTTACTGGGCTCCCATCACAGGCCCACCACAACGCGTCCTGCCCCTGTTGGGAGAGTCCCTGTGCCCCTAGGGGGCATGACAGGCCTGGCTCTGGGGCAGTGTTGGGAAAGTAGATGGGGGAGGCAGGGATGGTGAACCCTAACCCCACCCACAGGGGAGGGTGGGATGGGGTGGGGAAGGGCCACTGAGCCACTTTGCTGGGTGTTGCGGGGAGGGCAGCTGGGAATAGCCCCTCCCTGCCTCTGTGCCCCAGTACCTGCCTCTGACTGGGGCTCACTCTGAACCTGAGGAGGCATCTCGGAGGAACCTAGGATGTGGTGTTGGGTGGGACACCTGAGCCTTTTATAATCTCCCCTCACCCCTGGCCAGGAGATGCTGTGCAGCCCTGCCCGTCGGCTCCTGCTGGACAGCCACGATGTGCCTGTGATGGCTGCCCCACTGCGCGCTGAGCGTGTGCTGCTGTTTAATGATGCCCTTGTCCTGGTGCAGGTTGGGATTCTGGGGTTGGACTGGCCGAGGAGCAAGAGAAAGATGAACAGCTGGGATTGTGGATGTGGGCTGGGGAGGTACTGGGGGGTAGGCAGTGATTTCCAAAGGAGCCAGGCTGGCCTGGGTTGCCCAACTGGTGGGGACGGGGGGGGAAAGCTTCCTGGTGGAAGAGGTCTTGGCTGGAGCTGTCGGGATACCCCACAGGCAGTAGGAGCTTGGGGCAGGCCAGTAGGAGGGTGAGGCAAGGGGTCGTGGTCTCTGGGGTGGGCACGGTCATGGTCAGGCCTCCCAAATCCTGAGAACTGCTGGGCCCAGGCATCCCAGAGTTGGGAACAGGGCTGGGGAGGAGTTGGTGCTGGGGGGTTCCTTGTGGGCTCAGGGGCCAGCCTGGGGCAGGGTCTGATAGACAGACACCTGTATGTTCCTTCTGACAGGGCCACAGTGTCCACACCTTTGACCTGAAGCTGCTGTGGCTGGAGCCTGGGCAGGATGGGTGAGTAACATCCAGGCCCTTCCACCCGACATCTGCCCGCAGCCTTGACTCGGGCCTTGCCTGCCACCCTTGTGGACTGAGTGGAGAGGCAAGCCTCCCCTTCAACTCCATCTGCTTAGGTACATGTTTCACCTCCTCACACCTGAAGACGAGTTCTCCTTCTGTGCCAAGGACCGCCAAGGCCAGGTGAGAGGGGCCGTGCTGTAAGTGGGGTGGCAGGTCAGGGGGTCACTGTTCGCCCTCTGAAGCCAACCTTGGGCCTGACTCCATCCCTGCCCCCAGGGTCTTGGCAGGTCCTGGGAGCAGTATGGCATGCCTGACCCCTGACCTCCCACACCACAGGGACAGAGCACTCCCTCCCCCAGCCCCAGAGCTGCCCCACGAGGCTCCCAGGAGGGGCTGTCACCTAGCCCACATTTCATTATTCCCACCAGGTGGTCTGGCAGTGGAAGGTGACCCAGGCTGTGTGCCAGGCCCTGCGGGGCAAGAAGGACTTTCCAGTGCTGGGGGCCGGCCAGGAGCCTGTGGAGCTCCCTGCCCAGCGCTATGGAGCCTATACCTTCCACACTGAGGGCCGGCTCTGCCATGCCACCTATGAGGGCGAGTGGCAGCAGGGCAAGCCCCACGGCAAGTGAGTGGCCCCAGCTCCAGCTCAGGGGTGGGGGAGACAGTACCCTCCTGGACATGATCTTCGTGCCCCAGGGCTCCTCCCTGGGCTCAGTGGATTGACTATCCTGCAGGGTTCTCCCTCCATCTTCTTGCACAGCAGCTAGTCTGCCTGCTAAGGTATTGATGGAGACCAAGGCCAGCCTGCGGGCCCATGCTGGCTGTGTGGTCTTTAAAGGAGGGAGACTGACTCTGCTGGCTTGGGTGTCTTGGGGAAGGGGTTTGCACTTAAGTGTTACAAGGGCAGAAACCCACGTGTATGGGCAGGTCTCAGGGGGCACCTGGCCTCGGCGGCAGGTACATGAGACCCCTGAGGCAGGCAGGTATGTGGAGAGGATGGGAGCTGTCCCCTGCTAGAGCTGAGCCGCGCAGGGCTCCAGAGGTCAGCCTCTCAAGCTGTCACCATCTGCTTCCAGGGAGAGCTGGAGGAGGCTTAGAAACAAAACATGGGCACGCACACCTTATTGGCAGAGGGGAGGCCCCCAAAGGGGGCACAGGATGGGGAGAGCCTCCGAGCAGGCGTGTCCAGGGAGGGTCCATGGGCCTGATGCCCAGGGGTCCTGGCCATGTTGCAGGGGAACCTTGAAGTGGCCAGATGGGCGCAACCATGTGGGCGATTTCTGCAATGGCCTGGAGCATGGGTAAGGCTGGTGGGTGGCACTGGGGGTAGGAAAAGGGGGTGGTGGACAGATCGGTGGTCTTCTCCCCTGTGTGGCCAAGCAGGAGCTTTGATTCTTTCTGTGGCTCACCTACAGCCCCTTATTGTACATAAAGGGGCCTGGGCCCTGAATAAGGAACTAGGCTACACCTTAGTTCAGGGAGGACCCCTAGGTGGCTGGGGGCTGTGATGGAGAGATACCTCAGGAAGGAGGAGGGGGCTGGGCACCTTGCAGGGACATGGTGGTGTGGAGGCATGCTGACCCTGGCCCTAACTCCCACTGGCCACACTGGTAGCTTCGGCGTCCATCTGGTGCCCCAGCCCCCTGAGGACAAGTTCGACTGCTACAAGTGCCACTGGCGGGCAGGCAGCATGAATGGCTATGGCATCTGTGAGTAAGTGGCCCTCAGCCAGGGCGGGGCTGGTCTCCTCCCTCTGGTCTGAGCCCCTGGAGCCCTGGCCAGCTGTTTGTGACCTTCACCAGGTACGGCTCGGACCAGGTGTATAAGGGCTACTTCCAGGCAGGCCTGCGGCATGGCTTTGGGATCCTGGAGAGTCCCCCGCAGGCTTCTCGGCCATTCAAGTACACAGGCCACTGGGAGCGAGACCAGAGGAACGGCTATGGTGTGGAGGAGGACCGGGACAGGTGAGTATGCACAGCCCCCAGCCAGATTTGGGGGATAGGGACACCCCCCCAACACACGCCACCACCACATTGTTCCAGGGCCGTGGTTCCCCATTGGTACCCTCTGACCTCACCCTGTGTGTGCCTCCCAGGTTCCCCCAAGCCTCTCTGCCCCACCCTTTGGCACCTGTTCATACCTCCTTGGCTTAGCCCATGAACCCTGCCTGGGCACACTTTACCCTTATGATGCCCTTGGGGGCCTAAGTTGAGTGGATTTAGGGGATATCACTGTCTCTCCCCCCTGCCCCTGGCCCACCCCTACCACCATGCCTGCGGGTGCCCAGGACTGGTTCTGATCCAAGCCTGCCCCTCCTCTCCCCATAGAGGCGAGCGCTATATCGGCATGTGGCAGGGTGACCAGCGCCATGGTCCTGGGGTTGTGGTCACCCAGGCAGGCGTCTGCTACCAGGGCACCTTCCAGGCGGACAAGATGGTGGTGCGTGTGTTGTTGCTCCCCCACCCCACTCATGTACCCCACTTGCTATGGGGCCCTAAAGCTAAGAGGAAGTCATTCTTCAGGGGGGAGGATGAAGAAAGAGGCCTGGCTCTGCTAAGCCCCCACCCTGGCCTTGGCTACATCTGTCAGGCTCCCCAACAAGCCAGGCTAATAGTCGTGATGGTGGCCTCAGTGAAGTGGCAGGAATGACTGCGGTGGCCGTAGGACGGAGTGCTCAGAGACGCCCCCACACCCACTCACCAGAAGCCTGGTTGTGAGCTAGGCCTCCTACGTCATTTAGAAGGTTCTTCCCTGGGTCTGCGGGTTGATGTCCTCATCCATAGCGATGAATGGTCAAGAGCCAGCCCTGCTCTTCCCTGCTTCCTTCCCAAGGGCCCTGGCGTCCTCCTGTCTGAAGACGACTCCCTGTATGAAGGTACCTTCACCAGGGACCTCATCCTGGAGGGGAAGGTGAGAGCAGACACTGCCCGGGCCCTGTCCGCCCGTTCCAGATGGGCACAGCCCCTGCTCCCGGCCCGATTGTGAACAGGCTAAGAGCATCCATGTGCCTGCTAGCATCCGAGTCCCCTTGTTCTGCCCCCATGTCCCACCCTGTCCCTGGCCATCACCCCCAGCCCATACAGTCACCACCTTGGTCCTGCTCATGCTCACCTAGTAGAGGGACCCTGCTGGGCCATCAGAGGGAGCCAGAGGCTTGAGGTGGCTGAGGGTGCTGTGGCCTGGAATGGATGGGACTTGGGGAGGTGGTGAGTGAGATAGGCCTTTGCCTGAGGCCAGCAGGGCGGTGGGGAGGGGAGACTGGCAGTTCCCCCCTCTCCTGGTTCACAGGGCAAGATCACCTTCCCCAATGGCTTCACCCTCGAGGGTACATTCGGTCCTGGGTTCGGGCAAGGACTGCACACACAGGGCATGCTGGACACAGCTGCCCTCCCGCCAGATCCGAGCAGTAACAGCTGTAAGAGGTGAGAGCCCATCGGCTTCCTGGTGCAGAAGCATCTTGCTCCAGGGGTCCTTTGGGAGGGCCCAGACTTAGATTGGAGGAGGAGGAGGTGAGGGGAAAGGGCATAAATTCCACAGACCACAAAACTAGAGAAAAAATATCATTGGTAACCTGTTCTTGGGCTCCTTTTCGTGCTTTCTTTTTTTCTATACAAATAGACTTTACAAATAGGAAGTTGACCCTGAAAAAGATTTGCATGACAGGCCCCACAGTGGTTATGATTGAGATGAGCATGGCTCTGAGTTCCCTGATAGGCATGGTGATGAAGGAAACACAGTGCAGTTATCATCAACTTCAGGGGGTGTTGGAGTGGGGTGGGGGACAAGGAGGATAGCCTACTGTTCTTCAGGGGACAAAATTCTCCCTTGGAAGAAGTTTGAGGGGTGCTCTTGCTGTATCTGTTGAAGAAGACTGGATGTCCTGCAGGGAGAAGGGCTCCAATAGGCCACACCTGATGGGGTAGCAGAGTCACTGAGGGGTTACCGGACTGGGCTGGGAGTGGAGTGCAGCTGGGGTATGACCTGTAAGTCCAGTGCACAGGCTGGGCTGCAGGAGACTATCCCCTGGATGCACAGCTGGGCCCCGGCCTGTCAGCCAGGCTGTGGTCACCCATGAGGAGATACCATAGGCGCAGGGAGAGCTGGGTGTCTGAGCAGGGCAGCCCTGGCTTCAGGCATGGTCTCTCTTGAGCCAGGACCCACATCTACCCCCCACCCCTCCCACACACGGTCCAGATAACGTGGTCTGTCTGCTCCATCACAGGTTGGGGAGGGGGCGGGGTGTCTCTGGCCCCTCTGTGAAGCCTTAGGCCAGGTTGGTACCTTCATCCTTCCCGGGGCCTGAAGAGGGTCCTGCACACACAACCCTGTCTCGTGTCTCCCCATCCCTGCCCTGCCCCTACCCTCTGCCGTAGGCAGCTGGGCCTAGGCATCTTCCCAGTAGAGTGCCGCTGGCCAGGAGTCTACCGCCCCTTCCGCGACTTCGTGGCTGCCGGCTGCCCTGCTGACCTGCAGGAGGCGCTGCTGGGCTTCCACGTGCAAAGCCCCCGGGGGCCTCGCAGGTCCCAGGAGCGCGTGTGATGTGAGAGGTGAGGCCCCTCACCCCCGAGGCACCCAAGGCAGAGGGGACCCGGGTGGCCCTGGAGTGGCTGAAGGAGGATTGTGTATCACATCCCAGGGACAGCGTGGGCAGCCTGGCTGACACCCTGGAGGAATTGCTGCAGCACCGGCAGCTTGAGGCCCAGCAGCGGTACCTTGGCAAGGTGAGGGCCCCTGGGTGAGGGAACAGCTTGAGAGGCTCCTGGAAGACCTGACCCTGAGCACTTCTGTCGCCTCTTGCCGGCCTAGGCCCTGAGCCACCCCCGGCACCCACTGGCCAAGCTGCTGCGGACCCTGATGCTGACCTTCCAAGCCACGTATGCGGGCATCGGGGCCAACAAGCACCTGCAGGGGATGGCCCAGGAGGAGGTGAAGCAGCATGCCCGGGAGATCTGGGCTGCCTACAGGTGATGCATGTGCTGTGCCCGGGAAGTGACTGTGGTGCTGGGGCCTCAGGGCTGACTTGGCAGCTGGGGAGGGTAGGCCAGTGGACAGGGTGCCTGCGACTACCGGGCAGAGGGGCTCAGAGGAGACAAGAGCATCAGCCTCAGGCCTTGGGCTGACCCCTGACCCCAGAGGAGTGCTTACCCACTGTGCCCACCACAGTGGAGCCAGCCCCAGGGTGAGCCATGACTGAGTTATACGCGGCATCACATGTGGAAGGGTCCTTGAGTGAAGGCTTGTTGTCCACAGCAGTGACTGCTGTGGTTGGCTGTGTTAGAAGTGGCCCCATAAGATCCCCCAGGGACTGTGCTGGGGGCGCTCTGGTCTTGGGGAGGGGGCAACCGTGCCATCTTAGTCTCCTTGGCTTGCAGGGGTCTGCTGGGGGTCGCCTTACAGCGCAGGGGCCAGATGCTGGAGGAAGAAGACGCAGAGACAAGGTGAATGACCTGGGGGCCGCAGACACTGACCTGGGTGATCTCAGGCCTCTGACCTGTGACCTGGGAACAGCCAGGGAGCCAGGGGCGCACCCTCAATGTGTGGGCACATCTTTATCTTTTCACTGTGTATCCTGGCTTTGCGGCTCAGGCTCTCCTGTTCCAGCTACACACCAGTGGAGAGGCTGAGGCCTGGCCGGTGTTGAGGCTGAGAACTGGGGTACAGGCACAAATCTTTGCACTCACTTTCAGACTTCAGGCCTGCCTGGGTCTGGCGGTGGAGGCACCGTAGGAAGCAGTGGAAGGGGCTCCTTGAAGGAGGAAGGAGTAATGGCTGAGAACAGGCTTGGAAAGGGAAGGAAGCTGCAGACTGCCTGCTGGGGAGGGAGGGAGTTGGGAGGAATTCTATGGGTTGGGTCACTCTTGGGGAGCTCTTGGGGGGGCCTCCTGTGCTACGATCCCCACCCCAGGCTAACCCCAGGGTGTTCCATCTCCGGCCCAGGGAGCTGCAGGTGCATGACCTGATGCTGCCCCTCATGCTGCCCAGTTTCTACTCGGAACTCTTCACGCTCTACCTGCTGTTGCACGAGCGCGAGGACAGGCTCTACAGCCGTGGCATCGCCAGCCTTAGCCTCTTCCCCGACACCAAGCTGCTCAAGTTCCTGGAGGTGCAGAGGTGAGCCCCCGCCATCCTGGCCACCACACGCTCTGCCCAAGCATGCTCAGTCATGGAGCCCTGGAGTCTGTGCCCGGAAGTGGCTGAACCTGGGTGCCTGACTGCACCATGGAGGGAAGCCCCTTTGCCCGGCAGCTCCCCCTCGGAGGTATACACATGGCCCTGAGCACTGCAGGTGTGTGTCCCCACCCTCAACTCTGGGTCAGTGTCCGTTCCCTGTCTTGCTTTGTCGACCTCAGGCACCTCTGGCCCCTGAAGGACCTCACACTCACCAGCAATCAGGTAAGGGGGTGTGGCCTAATTGGGAGGAAGGGTAGCCTGAGAGTGTGTCTGTGTGTGTGTCAGGGGGGCAGGTCAGGCTCCTGTGTTCTGGCCTCTGGGGGAGAGGGTGGGTACAGCCACTGGCCCAGGAGGACCGGACTCTGCCCTCTGGCTGTGCCTCAGTTCCCGCTGCTGTATAAGCTGTATCCTGGAGCTGCCCTTGGGTGCCTGAGGCCACTGTCCCTGGGGAGTGCCAGATGGGCAGTGTCGGTTTGGAACCTACAAAAAAGTAGATCCTCGGGCTCACCCCGGACCTCCTGAGTCAAGTTCAGGGTTGTGGGTGGGCATTGGGTGCATTGGTTAAGTCACTCTCAGGAGGTCGCATCCCGTGTTAGAGTGCTTGGTTCAAGTCCCCATTCTTCCACAGCTGTTTTGTTATATTGGAAAGTAGACATATAGACAGAAGGAAAGATTCTCCGTCATCTGGTTTATTCCTCAAGTGACCACAACGGCTGGAGCAGAACTAATCTGAAACCAGGAGCCAGGAACTTCTTTCGGGTCTCCCACGCGGGTGCATGATTCCAAGGCTTTGGGCTATCCTCGACTGCTTTCCCAGGGCACAAGCAAGGAACTGGATGGGAAGTGGAGCAGCCAGAACACAAACTTGCAGCCATATGGGATCCCGACACATGCAAGGCGAGGATTTAGCCACTAGGTTATTGTGCCGGGCTCCTGGCTCCTCCACTTCTTACCTGGCTTCTCTGGGAAGTGGCAGGTGATGATGGCTCAAGTGCTTGCGTCCCTGTCTCCCTGGTGGGAAACCCGGATGGAGTTCCTGGCTCCTACCTTCAGCTGGGTCCAAGCCCAGATGTTGTGGGCATTTGGGGAATGATCCAGCAGATGAAAGATCTCACTTTCTGTCTGCCTTTGAAATTTAAAAAGATGAAAATGAATTATTTTAAAAAATAGACAAACCTGGATAAAAATGGAACCTCAGGGAGCAGACTGAGAATCTGTGATTCAGAAAACCTTTGTGTCTGGTCCCACTGATCGAGGTGCCTGGAATGGGACGGACGCCAGTGCCCATTGGTGCTGGGATTTTTGATCCATGTTGCTCTCCCGGCTTCCTAGGGCCCATTCACCCTATCTCATATAGACGCAAACATTGAGGCCCACGGGCAAACTGTGACTTGTTTGGGATTACTCAGTGCCAGGGTAGGTTGCAAGCCAAGCTCAGTTTCACCCACTCTTTCCCCTACCACACAGAGGTACTCACTGGTCAAGGACAAGTGCTTCCTGTCAGCCACTGGGTGCCTCCAAAAGATTATGTGAGTCATGGCCTGGGACAGGCTGGGGGCGGGTGGGGGAGCCCAGCCCTCCCCTGGGGCTGGGCCTGGACCTGGTTCCCCTGCTGCAGGACCACGGTGAACCCCCGGGAGAAGCTGGAGGTGCTGGAGAGGACATACGGGGAAATCGAGGCCACCGTGTCACGGGTGCTGGGCCGAGAGCACAAGCTGCCCATGGATGACCTGTTGCCGCTGCTCATCTACGTGGTGTCACGGGCCCGGTGAGTCCTAGGCAGTCAGGACTAGGTGTCCTCTGAGCCCCTGGGGCCCTGGGGTCGTGGGGGCGGCTTTTCCCGGGACAGACAGGAAAGCAGAGACACACCCCATGTCTGTCCCGCTGGGGCCAGAGGCAGAGCGATGAGCCCCAGGGGTCCAGCCCCTGCCAGTCAGGCCCCTCACTGACCTTACATAAAGGCCTCTTCTTCACCCCCTAGAATCCAGCACTTGGGAGCCGAGATCCACCTGATCAGAGACATGATGGACCCCAGCCACACGGGGGGCCTCTATGACTTCCTGCTAACGGCCCTGGAGGTGAGGGGCGGAGGTGGTTACCCCTGGGCGGCTGGGCCCCTTCTTGCCCCAGATTCCATTGTGGGGATGAGTTCGGGTGTCCAGCTCTTACGTGCCTCTGGGAGGGGACCTCTGGGCACCCTGGGTTCTGCCCATGTTGAGGGACCCATTGTGCCTCCCAGACCTCTGAGACTCTGGGAAGACCCTGTTTGCCTGGTAGAGAGTGGCCAAGGGCAGAGTCAAGAATGCAGTAGTGCAGGCTGGGAAGGACTGCCCTGGAGCCCAGGGAGTGGTGGGGGGTGAGACCGGTGCCCCAGCCCCAGCCTCACCCTTGCCCCTCTGCCTCCAGTCCTGCTATGAGCACATCCAGAGAGAAGACATGCGGCTGCACCGCCTGCCTGACCGCCAAGACTCCAAGGAGCTCTTATGCTAGCCTCATGCCTCTAGGCCCATGGCGGAGCTGCTGGGCCTGCACGCCTTGCTCACAGGAGCAGCTGGGCTCACCCTGGGCGTCCTGTCCTACTCTGCTGGTCCAGGGCAGCAACCAGACTCCTGTGTGTCCTATAGGGCTGGTGTCCTGTGCTGCCCCACCTGCTGGAGCTTATGGGTTGGCTACCCAGTCCTCTTGTGTGCTGGTGGCTCTGTGGCCTGGCTGAAGCCTGTGGACTTCCTGGGCAGGGAGAGGAAGCTCTGTGTGCCACACCAGGGTCCCTGGGCCAGGGGGATGCTGGAGTGCCACTCCTCCTTGCTCTCCGAGTCTCGCCTTGGCATCATCTCCGTGTGTGGCAGGTGCTAAGGACTCCACACCTCGCATCCGTCTGTGCCTTTCTCCTGGGTGGACATCTTTGCCCCAGGTCCAGTCACAGGTCACACCCTCAGAGGAAGCAGCCGGGGGTGCTTCTGGACCTGAGAGATGGCCAGTCAGTGACGAAGTCTGGTCTGTGTGTGGCAAATGCTCTGTTGCGGTGAAGGCAGAGATTAGCTGAACTGAAAACTTCCAAATCAGGCCATGGGGGGATCAAGCCGCCGTTTGGGGGTTACTGCATCCCAGGGGGTTCCCGCATCCCAGGTTCAGGTGCTGGCTGTGCCCCTTCTGATCCAGCCCCTGCGGGTATACCCAGGAAGGCAACAGAGGGTGGCCCCAGTGCTTGGCGTCCTGCTGTCTGTGTGGGAAACCGGGTGGAGCTCCTGGCCCCTGGCTTCGGCCTTGCCTGGCTCCAGCTCCTGCAGGTATTTGAGAGGTGAACCAGAGGGTTGGAAGATCTGTCCTCTGCTTTTCAAGTAAATAAATGAGTCTTTTTTTTTTTTAATAAAATAATAAATCTTAAAGTTCATGATGAAAAGAAAAACCCTGTAATATTTAAGCACACACACACAAACTCTAAAACATTGGGAAAAAAAAAAAAGGAGCAAGCACACAGTGAGGACAAGATACTGAGTTTTATTCAAAGGATCCTGGCTGCAAAGGGCCATGTTTGTGGAAGTGCCACTGCGCTCCTCGGAACGAGAAGGAACATTTGCATGTTTTGTTTCCAGAACTGTGCTGGTGGTTATTTACAACATTTTGTCCTACAGATGGGCGTGCTCCTGTCCTCACAGGAAAAACCAAAGACAGTGAAAGATGCTTCCTGGGTGAGTTGGCAGAGTGACTCTACTAGGTGACACAAAGAGCATGATCTCAAAGACCGAATGTCCTGCCCCCACTGGGTGCATGTGGGGATTAATGGCTACAGGCCATTCTAAAGAGAAGGTTCCAGACGTGTGGTGTGCCCTTCCGTGTGCAGAGAGGTGATGGAGGGGCTGCGTCCCACTGTGCCCTGGTTGGGCTTCGGAGGCACACCCCCTTGCCGATGGGGAGATGGTGGCGTGATGTTGGTGGGTATAGCAGAGACTCGGGGCTGTTCCTGGCAGAGGACCTCGGGAAGCTGCAAGCTCTCAGCCGAGGTGTACTTGCTCCTCAGCCTCCTCTGTGTGGTTCCGCAGCCTCAGCTTCATTTCCAGCTTCTGCCTCCATTCTTCCCTGAGCCTACAAGCGGAAGCAGAACCCAGCCTCATGGCACGTGCCTCCCGTGACTGCTGGCTCGCAGAGGCCCGCTTCCTCCTTTCCCCTGCCAAGCCCCTGGGAGACAGGGGAGAATGGGCCTCCTTGGGCCTCTGCCACCCATGGGCGGGGAGACCAGGCTGAAGTTCTTAGCTCCTGGCTTTGGTCTGGAAGTGAACTAACAGGTGGAAGATCTCTCGTTCTCTCTGTCTTTTGCTCTGCCTTTCAAATAAATAACCTTAAAAAAATATTATATGTAAGAAAGAGTTAAATAATTATACCCTCAGAGATGCCCATTGACGCTTTTCTGGGGAAGTCAGTTTTTGCTTTTACAAAATAAACAGAGACTGGAAATGTCCCTGCAGGCTCACGACTGTCTATGAGGCACCCCTGAGCAGGATGGTGGCCAGGGCCTGATGTGGGGAGAGTTGGGGGCAGGCAGAGGGGAGACACAGAGGGCAGATGGGAACTCTTTGCACCTACTGCTCAGTGTTGCTGAGACTTAAAAGCTGTGGTCAGGGCTGGGTCAGGCCAAAGCAAAAGCCAGGAACTCCATTTGGGTCTCATGTGGTTGTAGGGGCCCAAGCATTTGGGCCATCTTCCACTGTTTGCTTGGTTTCTTTCATTTTTAAAGATTTTTAAAATTTTTATTGTGAAATCATATATATACAGAAAGGAGGAGGAAAGACAGAGAGGAAGATCCTCCATCCTCTGATTCACTCCCCAAGTGACCACAATGGCCAGAGCTGCACCAATCTGAAGCCAGGAGCCAAGAACCTCCTCCAGCTCTCCCACGCAGGTGCTGGTTCCCAAGGCATTGGGTCGTCCTCCGCTGCCTTCCCAGGCCACAAGCAAGGAGCTGGATGGGAAGCAGGGCTGTTAGGATCAAAACCGGCACCCATATGGGATCCCCACGCGTGCAAGGTGAGAACTTTTAACCACTAGGCCACCATGCCGGGCAATTCATTCTTTTTAAAAGATTCATTTATTTTTATTGGAAAGGCAGATTTACAGAGAAAGAGATGGAGAGAAAGAACTTTCATCTGCTGGTTCACTCCCCAAATGGCCGTAATGGCTGGAACTGGGCTGATCGGAGCCAGGAGTCTCCTCTGAGTCTCCCATGTGGGAGCAGGGTCCCAAGGTTTTGGATCATCTTCCACTGCCTTCCCAGGCCACAGGCAGGGAGCTGGATGGAAAGGAGAGCAGCCAGGTTTCCTGATGGGGGTTGTTGACATCTTAGGTGGGCACAATGTTATGCCACAATGCCGGCTTTTAAGACCTGAGTCTTACGAAGTAGACCAACAAGCCACGTACCTTCTCAGGGCACTTCTGCCTAGGCGGTACTCCTCGGATTCCCGGTAGTAAGTCTGCTTGCCAATTTCCTGTTCCCAAAAGCGTTTGAGCTCGTGGCACGTGTTCCCACAGAAGACTTCCCGGCGGGCACACTGCTTCTTCATGCTCTGAAATCCGAAAGAACAGCTGAACCCTAATAAAAGGCTATTGGGCGCATATGCTGCAGGTAATGGTTCGTGCCCGAAGCACAGCCCCTCTGCGGGAGAGCCGTACAGACTGGCTACAGCTCCTCTGACTGCAACAGCAAGAATCCCATCCCCCTTGTTGCTTGGTCCTGGTCTGGATGTAGGGACGTGTGAGTGCAGGCGCTCCCTACGTGTGTGCCAGGCGCAGGTACCTCTTCTCAGAACAAAGATTTCTGGGGGATACATGTTAAAGTGCAACAGGCTAAGCTGATGCCTGTGATACCTGCATCTGTATCAGGGTGCTAGTTCAGGTCCTGGCTACCCCACTTTTAAAATCAGCTACCTACTAATGGTCCTCAGATAACAGCCGAGGATGGCCCAGGTGCTCAAGCCCTCGTACCCATGAGGGAGAGCTGAGAGAAGCTCCTGGCTTCAGGTAAGTTCAGCTCTCGCCATTGTCACCATTTGGAGAGCGAACCAGAGGATGGGCGATCTTTCCGTCTCTGTCTGTCATTCTGCCTTTCAAATAATTCAGTATTAAAATAATAATAGTAATATTTTTCAGCATGTCAGCAGGTAATGTGTACTGGCATTCTGTGCCCGTCTGGCCACTGGGTTGTCATAAGATGCCCAAAGGTTGGGGCTGGGTCACCTTCCTTCCTCACTTGATCCATGACTTGCAGAACTTCGCCTGTGGTTCCACGGCAGGAACTGGTGAGGGCAGGCTTCAGACTTTGGAAAACCTCGAGCTGCTTCTCAAGTGATTTGTTACAGAAATGTCTAGAATTTACCGAACTTAAAAGAGGGGGTTCTTAGTCCACAGGGGCAGCGGGGGGTGGGGGCTGCAGAATGTGAAACCCAAATGGAGGTAGCTAAGAGTTTTTCTTGTGTTTTTTTTTTTTTTTAAGATTTATTTTTAATGGAATGTCAGATATACAAAGAGGAAGAGAAACAGAGGGGAAGAATGTCCAGCCGCTGATCCACTCCCCAAGCAGCCGCAACAGCCGCAGCTGAGCTGGTTCAAAGCCAGAAGCTTCTTCTGGGCCTCCCATGTGGGTGCCAGGGACCCAAGGTTTTGGGCCATCCTTGACTGTTTTCCCAGGCCACAAGCAGGGAACTGGATGAGAAGTGGGGCTGCTGGGATCAGAACTGGCACCCATATGGGATACCGGAGCGTGCAAGGTGAGGACCATGCTGGACCTGCTAAGAGCTTTTCATAACAATAGAAAATCAGCTTTGGGCTCTGTTGATCACTCTTGGCTTGTTGGCTCAAGTGGCTCATAATGTAGCAGGTGCCTCTGCATCCTGCCAGCATGCCAACTGTACATCTCGAATTTCACTGCAGCAAGTGTTTCATCATCCAATTCCACCTCTCCAAAGGTATTGCTAATCACCTAGAAACTTTGTGACCCTGGCTGTCAGGAGCTGAGAAGGGGCCCAAGGGCTCCAAGGAAGAGCGGGGAGGGGTGGTGCACTCATCCTTGTCTCCTTAAAAAATGGGACCTCTGAGACATGGTGCAGCCATGTGGACACTGAGTATCCCCCAATGGCAGGGGCACTGGGGAAGCTGGGAGTTTTAGCTGCCCTTGCGTGGCACTTTATTGTCCGTGTCTACTCAGTGTAGACTCTAGGGGCAGCCTGAAATCCCGAAGTGGGATTGAATAGACATCCGCATCCTGATGGCTGCAGGGAGGAAATAGACTCCTCCCGGCTCAGGGGAGGGACAGAGCAGGGCAGGGATCTCTTGTTTTTCCAGGAAATACCAAAGTGAAGAAGGTGTGGCTGCAGCAAAGGAACTAAACTGTAGCCCCACCTGCTGGAGGCCTAAAATCCTTGGGGCAGAAAAGCTTGCTCTCTTGCAAGAGGAGGTGGGGACTGGTCCTGGCTGTCTTCCGTCCCTCTCAGTTCTCTTGGCACTTGGCCCAGCAGTTGGTGCACCACAGGAAGCGTACGGATGAGGTGGGTGACCCAAGTACCGGGTTTCTGTCCAAAGGCTTGGAAGGGGGAACCCAAAGAAGTGGGAAGTGCCAGGTGGACTTAAAGAAAGCTGTGCCTGAGCCCCTCACTGACTTGTGTCTGAGTTGCACCCACGTGGCTCCAACCCCACACAGCCGAGACTTATAAAGAGCCTGCACCTGGATGGCCCTGCCAAGGCTCCGGAAAGGAAACGGAGGCTGCAGCCACAGCTCACAGAGGCTGTGGGGAGTCTGCGACTCACTGCTGGATGTGTCGCTAAAACACAGGTACCAACATTCCCAAAAAGTTGTTCACTTGACCTTGAGCAACGTAGGAACGGGATCTCAAACACACACACGCTCATGGAGAACCAGGAAAATCTCAAGTGGAGCGAGGAGAAATAACTGACAGATGCCAACATGGAAAGCATGCAGAGGTAATTCCATACCAGTCTTAAAATAGCCATTATAAAAATACTCTGTGAAATAAAGGCAAATCCCCTGAAAGTGAACGGAGAGGAACTCTCAGCAAATAATAACAGATGTGAAGAACAACATGGAAACGCTAGAACCAGAAAACGCACTAAATTAAAAGAATTCACTGGAGGAAACCATGGCAGAAAGGAAACGTTTGAGAGATTCGTAGCAATCACCCGGACTGAGCAAACAGCTGGTTCCAAAATTCAGATGGAAAGGAGAAGAGACTTCAGTGATGAAACTGCTGTTAAAATAAGGAAGTTGAAAGAATCACTTGGCCGGGGTGCGTGAGTGGGGTGGGGGCAGGGAGGGTGTTGGGAAAGGAAAGGGCCCACAGAGGGACAGCAAGGCCCCCGGGAGGCTGACTCTGGTGATGGAGTCAGCCAATGCATGGGCATTGAGGTGGGGGAAGGAGTCTTCACTCACACCCCAATTTAAACAAAAACCAACTCAGGAAATATCCTATGTGTGAATATAGAGTAAAACTCAGAGAGAACGTAGAGGAACTTTTCCTGGCAAGGGGTTAGGCAAAGCGCTCTCAGCACAAGCAAAACACAATACATACAAAAGAAAACTGAATAAATTGGAGTTTGTCCAAATTGAAACCATGCTCTGTTAGGGGAAAGAGAAGATGAGGCACAGACTGAGAAAAACAAGTCTGCAAATTGCAAAATCGACAGGTTGTGTCTGGGATCTCTACAAGTCCTCCAAACCCATCAGGGAACTCGCCGAGGATGTAACATGAGGGAATTTAGGGAGACTGGAGTTTCCTGTATTGTGGGTAGGGAGTGGTTATGTAACAAAGCTGCATGTGTATTTTAGAATTCATGCGGATGGAGCTCGCACTGCGGCAAAGCGGGTTGAGCTGCCAGCAGGGACGCTCGCATCCTGCATAGGTGGCAGTTCATGTCCTGGCAGCTCCACTTCTGATCCAGTTCTTTGCTAAGGGCCTGGGAAAAGGAGCAGAAAATGGTCCAAGTGTTTGGGCCTGTGTGACCACTGTGAGAGAGACATGGAAAAAGCTCCTGGCCTACCCCTGGCCATTGCAGGCACCTGGAGTGTCAACTACTGGATGGAAGATCTCTTTCTCTTTGTAACCCTGCCTTTTGAAATTAAAAAAAAAAAAAAGTTTGCAGATTTGTGGTCATGAAAAAATTGTTTTGGGGGCCTGGTGCAGTAGTGTAGCAGCTAAAGTTCTACCTTGCATGCGTAGGGATCCCATAAGGGTGCTGGTTCGTATCCTGGCAGCTCCACTTCCTATCCAGCTGCTTGCTTATGGCCTGGGAAGGCAGTGGAGGACAGCCCAAAGCCTTGGGACCCTGCACCTGCGTGGGAGAGCTGGAAGAGGCTCCTGGCTCCTGGCTTTGGATCTGCTCAGCTCCAGTGAGTCAGAGGACAGAACTTCCTCTCTGTCTTTCCTCTCTGTATATCTGACTTTCCAATAAAAATAAACTTAAAAATCATTTTAAAAATTGTGCAAAAAAAAAAAAAACCCAGAAATTTACCAAGCACAAGAGTGTCTCTAGTAAAATATATATTTACTTTTGTTTTGTTAAAGATTTACTCCCAGTGCATTCAAGGAGAGGAGTTTAGCCACTGGACCACCATGCCAGGTCCTTACATTAATTTTTAGGGATCTGATATAGGCCTTATACACTCCGAGGTTACTTACTTTGGCCAAAACACTGCTGAACCTGCTACCCACCGACCCAGGAGCTGGCCCAGTGACATCACCTAGGAGCTGGTGAAAGTACAGATTTCATCAGGACTGGATAGCCCTAGCCCGATCCCCCAGTGATGCCTGCATGGATTATAGCCTAGGATGCTCTGCACAGTCAGACTCTTGCAGCAGGCAGGTGGACACAGGGACAGCCCTTGCTCCCCTGGGGGCCAGGCAGTGCCCCGTTGACAGGTTCTGCTTTGCCTCTGTGTGAGTCCTGGCTGTGGTTTCTGTCTTCTCACAAAGTTCAGCTTGTTCTGGCTACATCCGTTAACTGTATGAACTAGGCAAGGAAGCCCAGGTAAGATTCAAGGAAGAAAGTTCTGAGAGAAAGAGGAATCCCAGCAGCTGAGCAAGGTAGGTGTGCATGGGAGTCGGCCCTTTCTTTCCCCTGGGAATGTAAGGTGCACCTCCACCCCCCACCTCTGCCCGCCCCTGCACAGCGTTCTTACCTTTGAGGTGAAGCTGCTGCTGTCCTGATCTGGTGCAAGGGAGCCGAGCGTTGCGGCTCTCGACTCTTCAGCTCTGGGGCTCACGAAGGCCATGATCTGGCCCCAGTCCCCCTGGGAGGGAGCCCTTTATAGGCAGGTCGGAGGAGTTAGAGGAAAGCTTCAGCTGGCAAGGTCGCGTGCACCAGGTCGGTAGCTGAATCCCAGAGCCGTCCTTCCAGGGCAAAGGTGGCCTTTTCCCTGATGGACTGACTCCCACTGCCCACCCCAAAGGCAGCGGGGATTTTGCTCTGGCAGGCATGGCAGGCCGTGACTTGGCCATCTGCAAGACTGCTCTTTAAACATGCTCCTGCTCATGGACACCTGTGAATCCCTGTGCATCAGGGCCCTCTGCCCCTCCGGGTGTGAAGGAGCCCGGGATGGTGTGACAAGTCACACTTTGGGGTCACCTTACAGGATGACTTAGCGATGCGTGTTGCTCTTTGCAGCCGATAATCCAAGGATAGAGCTGGCGATGACATGTTCCCATCGGTTTAGTCCCCCTGCCTGGAGGCGCGGGCACTGGCCGCGGGCGACCGTGCTCCAGTCAAAGCCACCAGACCAGCGGATTTCTCGGTTGAAGGTGCCCTTTCAAAGGGCACGTTGTGCTTTTCCGCCCACATCTGGAATGGTCCCATGTCGAACCACACATACGGGGATCAGGTTGTGATCAAACTGCTCTGACACTAGGAGTATTAATGACATGGCTTCGATAACACAGGTGGCACCTTTGCACACCAGGGAACTTCAAAAGCTTTGTGGGAAAAGCAGAATTTGATCCAAAAAATGAAATCTAGGCAGAATTTTTTCATCCTATTCTTAAATGAAAATTTTCAAGACCCTTCTTATTCATGTATCTCAAAAATTTGCACCAAAAAAGCTCATTGAAGTTTCTTCCTGTATTTAATAATGAAAAATCCTCATTTTGCCTTCAGTGGGTTTTTTTTTTTTTCTGATGATAAATGTTATATACAAACAGAGAAGATAGAATAAAAACAGTAGAATGTTTTTGGTGTAAGTTTTTAAGTACTCATTTTCTCATAAAATTAGTAGAGAAAATGACTATTTCACAGGTAAAAGATTCTCTGGAGAAATGTTCTCTTAAAAATATATATATATTTTTTTAGGGGCATGGAAGCACTACACACTGGGAAAACTCTCTGAAATAGTATTTATTTTAAATCTTGCTTGGTTCACAGGGGCTGGCACTGTGACAGCCAGGTAAGCTGCAGCCAGCGGTGCCAGCATTCCATATGGGACCAGTTTGAGTCCCAGCTGCTCCACTCCTATTCGGCTCCCTGCAGATGTACCTGGGGGTATTGGAGAATAGCCCAAATGTTTGGTCCCCAACACCCACAGGAGACCCAGAAGTTCCTGACTTTGGCCTAGTCCAGCCCTAGCCATTGCAGCCATTTCGGAAGTGAACCAGCAGATGGAAGATTTCTCCTGCTCTTTTCCTTTTATATTTAATTCTACCTTTCAAGTACATAAATAAAATCTTTTCAAAATAAATGAAATAAGAAAAATGTTAAAATTAAACATTTTTAGAAAAAAAAATTGGTTCACTCCTGAGTAGGACCCAAGCCAGTGCCCCCGAGAGCAGCTGCTGGCGTCCCAGATTGAGGCTTAACCCGGAACACCAGAACGCTGGCCCCAGAAAGCCTCCTTGCTAACACTCAATTCCTCAGACTTTATTGAGGAAGTTGTTAGCAAGTCCTTGAAGAAAAGTTTCTGACATGAAGCTTAAGTTTTGCTACTTCCCACAGGCTCACGGGAGCTCTGGAAAAAAGCCTCGCTAATCCACTAGCACAAAACATCCCTGTCTCCGTCACTTGTTGACTTCATGGAGGAAACATTTGATTTTCCCAGTTTGAGCGAATTTTGAATCAACAACATGAATTTCCAAATGCTTATTCTGTTACTGATTTAATTAATTTTTAAGAGTCTTTTTTTTTTTTTTTTTTTAATTGGGGCTGGCATCATGGTCTCCCATGGCTAAGAATCTACCATTTGGGTGTCAGTTCAAGTCCCACCTGTTTCACTTCCAATCCAGCTCCCTGCTAATGGCCTGGAAAAGCAGCAGAGGATGGCCTAAGCCCTTGGGCCGCGGCACCCATGTGGGAGACTCGGAAGAAGCTCGTGGTCAGCTCAGCTCCAGCCCTTCTGGTCATTTGGGGAGTGAGCTGATAGATGTAAGGTCTTTCTGTCTCTCCTCTCTTTAAATTAACAATACTTTTGTGTAGAAACTTTTTTTTTTCAATGTCTATTGATTAATGCCTTTCTCCCCAAAGGGAAGGAAGGTGAGTATTAATATTTTTTTGTTTTCCCCCAAAGATGTATTTATTTATTTGAAAGGCAGATTTAGAAGGAGAGACAGAGAGATCTAGCCACCGGTTCACTCCCCAAATAGCTACAAAAGCCAGGCCAAAACTGGAGCTCAGGGACCTAGTCAAGGTCTGCCATGCAGGCGGTAGGGACCTAAAGACTTGGGCCACCACCTGCTGTCCCCCAGGGTGTGCAATAACAGGAATCAGGAATGGCGAGAGGAGCCGGGACTTGAACCAAGGCACTTGGGATGTGGGGGTGCCAAGCCTTGTCTTAGCCGCTGGGCCAAATGTTTGCACCTGGTGGGAGGGGGATGGCACACATGTAACCAGGGAGCTTAGATGTTCCTCTGTCAGTCTCCCCTCTCCGCCCCCAGCCGTGGTAACCACTGATGCATTCTCCAGCTCCAGGAACATTCTAGAAATGAACCCTGTCTGTGTGATCATTTGAGGCTGGCTTCTTGCCCTCAACCTAATTTCCTTGAGTTCTGTCAGAATTGTTTTATGTATCAGTGGGTTTTCTCTTTTATTTCTGTACAATATTCTAGTGCTAATGTGTCAGTTCTTATGTGTTTTTAAAAAATATTTACTTTTTGGGCCTGGCGTGATAGGCTAGTGGCTAAAGTCCTTGCCTTGAATGCACCGGGATCCCATATGGGTGCCAGTTTTAATCCTGACGGCCTTACTTCCCATCTAGCACCCTGCTTGTGGCCTGGGAGGATGGCCCACAGCCTTGGGTCCCTGCATTTGTGTGGGAGACCAGGAAGAGGCTCTGGGATCCTGGCTTCGAATCGGCGCAGCTCCATCCATTGCGTTCACTTGGAGAGTGAATCATCGGACGGAAGATCCTCCTCTCTGTATATAAATAAATAAATCTTTTAAGAAATATTTTTATTTCAAAGACAAATTTATAGAGAGAAACATATACACACCCCTTCCATCTGCTGGTTCACTCACCAAATGGTCACAACAACCAGAGCTGAACTGATCCAAAACCAGGAGCCAAGAGCTTCTTCCAGATCTCCCATGTGAATGCAGAGATCCAAGGCTTTGGTCCATCCTCCACTGCTTTCCCAGAACCCAAGCAGGGAGCTGGATGGGAAGTGGAGCTGCCTGGACTGCCCATATGGGATGCTGGTCCCTTTAGGTGGAGGATTGCTAGCCTGCTGAGACACGGCACTGGCCCTTTCCGTTTTGTTGTTTCTAACTTTTGGTTTTGACTAACAAGGCTGCTCTGAAAACTGATGAACAGGTTTTCTTTGTGAATGCGAACTTTGATCTCTCAGAGGTAAACCACTCAAGAAGTTGTTTCTGTCACTCCTGGGGGCTGTGCCCCTTACTCCACCCTCTCTGGCTGACTTTGACCGTGAGCGCCTGCAGCAGGAGCACAGGGATGGTGGCGCAGCAGAGTTCTTTGCCTCTGTCTTTTCCCAGCACGTCCCTCCCCAGGCCTGAATCCTGGCTTTTGGAGTCAGAGAATAGCCAAGTCAAAAATGCTGAGCCACAGTTTCCATCCTGCAGGGGCCAACGGAGTTTGCAGAGCACCTTGACAAGTCATGCTAGAGAAGGGAAGATGAAAAGTACAACGAGCATGAGCACAGAAAAGGCTGACCCGAGGGAAGGCAGAGAGCTGGGAGGGAGCTGCTGGACAGCCCTGGCCTTGACCAAGGTCTCAGGGTGCCCGTGCACCCTGCTGCCTGCCCCACACACTTGGCTCACACTGCACCAGGAACGTGAACTCCTGTGAGAAGTGTGGCCCTGGGTGGAGTCCGGAGGCTCTGTCCAAGGCTGTGGTTGCCTCCCAGGCTTTCCTGGCCCTCTTAGTGGTGCCTGCATCCTGCAGGAGCTGAACAGCTGTGATCTGGGGGTTCATCTTCAAGGACCTCATCCCAGACTAGACGTCGCAGCCTGTAAGTCACAAAACTGACAGGGTCTGAGTGTGTATCTTAGCATGACCTTCCCCAACCCTTGCATAAATCCACCACGAACTCCTTTGTCTTTAGATGTGCCCTTGAGGCTGAGAACAACCCCTAGGGTGCCAGCATGTACGCCATGGCCTTCCATATAGCCTTCTCTGGGGATACATGAGGACAAGATTCCCTGGCAACACGTCCAGGTAAATTATCTTGGGCAAGGGACTTTCTGGGGTCTTTCCAGACCCTCGGGATGAGTACTGAGTCCAGCCACATCTGCCCTGGCACGTCTTCAAGTTCCCTGGGCTACAGCTGGGTACCTGCAGAGCAGGTGTCTGTGGTCCTCCAGGATGGTTGTTAGGGGGACACTGGCCAGAAGACCTTCTCCATGCTGCCACCTAGGGACGGTTAAGTAAATTGCATAGGCAGGCCCCAGGGTGGCCTGTACCCTAGGTCTGGCATGTGGCAGCCACTGGCAGTTGGATCCAGAGTCCCTTCTCTTCAGGGGGCTCCCAAGGCCAGCAGGTCCCTGCCCTGGGCCCTATCTCTGGCCTATCCACCAAAGGCTTTTGATAGCCTAGTCAAGGGGACTTGACAGCCCAGAAGCCCATTTAGGATAGGGCTCCACTTCTCTGAAAGTCACTTAGCATTCCGGGTTCTCCTCCTAATCATCTGTGAAGCGAGGGGCTCTGAAGTCATTTCCACTTAGTACGCGTGATGATTTCAGAGAATTCTTTTCAGTTTAACAAACTTTATTAATTCAAAAAGCAAAATGACACAGAGATTGATCTTCCATCCACTGGTTCACCCCTCAGATGGCTGCAACAGCCAGAGCTGGACCAGGTCAAGAGCTTGGAACTCCCCACAGGGGGCAGGAACCCGAGCACTTGGACCATCCTCTGCTGCTGTCCCAGGTGCATTAGCGGGGAGCTGGATCAGAGGAGAAGCAGCGGGGACAACCCAGAGTCCGATACAGGATGCTGGGGTCAAAGTGAGCTGCGCTCCAGCATGGACACCTGTGGGGAGTTCTGAACCCTAGAACCTCTTGGTAAGCCTCCAATGACACATGCATCCGTGCATCCTGAATACAGAGTCCTTGGTTTCTAAAATCCTCGTGTCTTCAGTGAATTAACCCACTCTGCTTCTCCCTTCACCCCTCGGGCACAGGTGGCTTGTCCAAGGTCACATGGTGGGCTCTGAAGTCCATTCTCTCCACTTCTGTTCTTTCCTAGGGGTATCTGAAAGGCCCCCCTCACCACAGAGGCAATGCTGTAAAGCTTAATAAGATCTCTGATGTTAAAATAACAATAATAGCACTAATCTGACCCCTATGAATGATTGTAATAGACTAATTTCGATAAATAATAATAGCATCATGCTATGGGGAAATTAGTGCATGGATAACAGATAAACAGTTTCACTTCACAGTAGGTGCTGGACTAACTAGTATTTCTGCAGATTTTTATTGTCTTAACTTTGATCAGCTCCCCTCAAAACCCTTTCGGTGTCCCATAAACCACACAGAGCCGACTTTTAAAGGGTATCGCACTCTGTATGACATCTAAAGTTGTATTTCTAAAAAAGGCCAACGTAGGTCAGTAGAAACTGCACAGCAAGGCAGGTACCAGCGAGCATTAAAGCGGAAGCGGCATGTGCTGAAGATCCTGGAGTCCTGGAAGCCAGGAGGTGCTCATTCGTCACATGGCCTCCTGCAGGGGACAGACAGTGGTCGTCAGAGACCCCAACTTCCCTTCGTCCGACTGCCCACACTGTGGCAAGAAGGGTCAGGACCTCACATTGGAGGACAGTGTGCTGATGGGCTCAACAGTACCGATTCCATAAAATCTTCCATGGAAAGTTGCCACGGCCGGCATTTTGACACAGCGAACTAAGCTATTCCTTGCCAAGCTGGCATCTCATAATAGCCATGGTTACAGTCTTGGCTGTTCTGCCTCAGATCCAGCTTCTTGCTAATGTGCCTGGGAAAGCAGTAATAGTAGGTGGCCAAAGTGCGTGGACTTCTGTACCCACATACAGTTCTGGATAGAGTTCCTGGCTTTGCCCAGCCTCAGCTATTATAACCTTTTGGGGGAGTGAACCAGGTGGAATGTCTGTCTATCACTCTGCCTTTCAAATAAATGAACTATTAGGAAGTTTTATCCTTGTATGCTCTTATCTGGGAAGATAGCACAGCAGGTGGCGCCTTCACTTGTGGGGGACTAGGCTCTGAGGAGGGGACAGCACTACTGGGACCCTGAATCCTAAGCTCTTCATCCCTAGGTATTAGATACCTATGCTGGGCTGGCCTACAGGCTGTGCTTTGCAAAGACCAAATTTCTGTCTGGGTTGGTGTAGGGCGGGAGGATCCCCATCTTGTACTCAGAGAAGAGTTTCATTTGTTTCCTGGTCTGGAGCACTTTCAATCTCTAACATCTGTGCAGGTCATAAGTAGTGAGCGTGTGGAATCTGGGGGAGCCCTGGGCTGCAGTCGGGAGAGCACCCACTTCCTCCAGAGTCTGCCCCACTTTCTGTTGCTTCCCCCAGGTCAGCAAATATCACAAGAACAGTTCAGACACCCATCACCACGGGGGCTGTGCAGGAGCCCACTAGCCCTCAGGTAGCAGCTCCTCAAGGCCAAGGATAGAGTCAGTGCTCTGGTGGACCTCATGGTTTGGGTGGGTTCAGATTGGACCCCTGTTCTAAGGAATTCCTGAGAGAGCATATTCCGGTGTCTGAGGTGCTACATATTCTCTGCTTTACCGTCCTTAGTCCGTGTCCACAGAATAAACTGTTAGGAAGACCCATGCTCATGCTTCTGAAAGGCACCAGAACTAGCTGCCAGCCCCGAGTCCAGGGTGGCCTGGGAGACCCACAGGAGGCTGCCCACAGGCAGCCAGGGCCGCTGGAAGGGCCTGGGGAGTGGGGAGCGTCTGCTTACCCTGCTTCCCGCAGCCCGGCAGAAAGGCCTGGGACACACAGTGCATCTCGCCTTGCCAGCATTTGCAAATGGAACACCTCTTGGGCAGCCAGGTATCGTGGGGTACAGACCCACAGCTCCTGAGAACAAACACATTTTGAGCCCCTCCCACACCCATCCTTCCAACCCTGGCCCAGGCCTTCCCTCTGAAAGGCTTTACCGCCGGATCCGCAGGTCGTGCTCACAGTTGCGGCCAGAAAAGGAGGGCGGGCAGAAACAGAAGAGCCCCAGCATGCAGGTGCCGCCGTTGTAACAGCAGCTTCTGTTCAGCTCCCTACCTGCAAGGGAAGAGGAGGTGGCGGGGGACCTGAAAAGTCCCAGGGCAGTTCCTGTAAACAAAGGCCAAGGTGGTGCCCTCGGACTCCCGTCTCCCCAAAGCATCTGTGCACGTTTCAAACTGCATACCCTGCAGATACGACGCTGGAGAGGAGTTCCTTTTTCTACCCGTGCACAAGCTGGTGGTGGCAGTGGCCCTGTCCCCAGCATGAGCTGTACGAGGCCGTCTCACTTTCACAGCCAAACATCTCATCAGTTTCCCACCCCGCTCCAGACTCAGGTGCCCCACTTAGACGACAGGGGAGGGACCGGCCAGAGAAGGCCTAAAAGGCAGGTAGATCTTACTGTCCTGAATTCTCATAGAAGGCACAAACTGGGAAGACAGAGGACGGAGACGGATGGCAGGCTCCTTCTCCTGGGACCGATGGCTGCCCATCGTGAGGGCCAGGTCTCCCAGAGATGGTCTAGATGGTGCAAGTGCATGGCGGTCGGACCCTTAATGACAGAATCGGCTCATGAAGACCCTTTCAGGCTCCGTAAAGTCGTGAATGTTGAAAAGAACAAAGCGTCTCTCACCAGCAACGCATCCCACTTCAAGTGTGTTGGAAATGGCCACGATCAAGATGAGTCTGGGAAGAAGAAATCAGAGGGGAGCCCTTCAGCCAGCCCAGGGCCGCAGACCCCTAAGGAGGTCTGCCGTTCTTAATGACGGCTGAATAATTCATGTCACAATGGAAAATGCCAAGAAAAATCAACAACAGCCAACTCCCCACAAAATGCATCTTTGCTTTTCAAACTTTGCTTCCTACATACCCAATTCTGAGTAGGTGTATATCTTTGATTTTCTATCGGATGTAACATATTTTTCCTCCTATACACAGTTTCGGTTAAGGAATTTAAAAAAATGATCGTATGGTATTCCCTAGCATCTCAATATTTTAGAAAACACTTCTTTTAAAGCAATTCCTTAAAAGGCCTATAAGTAAAAGCATTATTTTGCTATTATTAACCTTTGCAGAAGCAGATTATTAATTTGATTGGCATAGCAAGCAGTCTTTGCACAAGTTGCAAAGGAGGAAAGCCATTGGCAAGTGGGGAGTTAACTGCGACATTCCGCTGGGGGAAGCTTTGAGTAAGACATTTCAACAGAGAGACAGAAACAGTCTGGTCTCCAGAACCAGCGACCTTGTGTACCCCGAAGTTCAAAATCAGCTCTTACCTAGCAGGGAGTCGCTCCATCTTCCCTCAGTCCACGGCTTTGAGCAGTTTGGGAAAGAGAGCTGTGGCGTGACTTCAACTTGCAGTCATTACGAACAGGCCCCAAGGTAACCGTCAGTGTCCTGAGGTGAGAAGTGGGAGAAGGAAAAACATCCCAGATGAGAACGGTCCTTTTCCCGGAAGGTCTTAGAAGCAGGAGCCCACAAGTCGCAGGCAGCCAGGGCCTCTCGGTCCTAAAGGATGTTTTGACTTGGAGCTGAGGACTTCCCGGGGGGTCCTTCCTTCTTAAAAGGCCCAGGTGTGGCCCCAGGGCCGACGGCGGTGGGCGGGGAGGTGGGGGGCCCGAGACCAGCAGCTACGAGGGTGGAGTCTTGTTTCCCCTGCCCGAGAGTCAAAGTCACTGTCGTTGAAAGAACAGTCAGTGTGTAAAGGACATGGGATGTGACTGCTTCCATTGGGAACACCGTGTTAGAGCCTCTTGCGTGTTTGATTTTTGACTGTTGTAGCACTTGGAGCTTGCACCTTTGTTTTCCCCAGACAGGAGTGCCAAGGCCACGGGAGGAGTCGGGAGAAGTGTGTCGGTGAGGACTGGGGAAGCAGTGGAGACCCAGGGTCAGGGTCAGGAGGCGGCTCCTTAGGGGTCTCTGATTTGGTGCACATTCCAGGCGGACCTGAGCTGCAGAGGCTGGAAGGAAGCCAGAGCTGGCGCCAGGTGTCCAGGGGAGGGCAGAGGAGGGGCGGGCTGGGAGGTGTGAAAGTGGGACCGGGGGGGCCGGAGTGCCCTGGGAAAACAGGAGGAGGTCATTAGCACCCTGGCAACAGGCTTTCCTGGATTTTTATCTCTGTTTCCACCAGGGTGGCCTGCCCCCCCACCCCCAGGATGCCAGGAACTAAGCCCAAATTCCACCAAGCCACGTGTCCCAGATGGAGAGGCATGTCCTTGAGCCGAGTCTTCATGTGCAAAGTCAGGAGCTGCTCATAGATCTCCTTTAAAGGACCTCGTGTTTCGTGTCGTCTCCACACATTTGTGGCTTTTCCACAACCCTGTCTCACTCCCCGCTCCTCACCGAGTTTAGGCTGCACGGATGAGCGCCAATCAAAGTCCTTTAGGCCGCAGGGTTTATCTATGTGAGATGCCGCTGACCCGCAGGCATTTGCTCGGCAGAAGTCCAATTGTTTTTTCTGGCTGGGGAGCAGGATACCCTTAGAGCTGCAGTGGGACAAAGGGCACTACTCTGTAATGCTTCAAGTTCTGCTCTGACATTCACATGGGCATCGAGTTCTGGGGATTCACAGGGCAGCTTGGTAGGGTACAGCGTGCATCAGGACCCCCTGTAGCCCACTGTGCTAAGAGGCGAGCAGTGTAGACACAAAAGTCACCGTGTGGACTGTATACCTTATCTCGCTGGGAGATCTCACTGTCTCTTCCTCAAAGGCGGGGCAGCTCTGTGGCAGCCCTGGGAACAGACCCCAGCCCCCTGCAATGCTGCATTTCCAGAGTGTGAAAATGAGACACCCCTCCGCTCACCCTCACCCCCCTGCCCCTCCAAGCAAGTCAGGCAAGGTAGCTTGGCCAGGTTGAGTCAGCAGGGACCCAGAATGCACTGGAAGCAAGTGAGTGACCAACAGATGGAGCCTGTAAGATTTGGGAGGGAGGGAGGAATGGGGGGGACGAGCCAAAGGTGCCTCAGCTCAGGTACTTGTTGTTTGCTGTTGGGTTGGGGGCTCCAGGACTGACGCTCATTCATTAACAAGTTAATGGCCTTCTGTCTTCTCCCATTGAATTTCACAAAAAGCAGCTGTGGTCTGTTTGCCAGGGGTCTCCTTGTGGGGGTTAGGTGAATGGATGCCTGCATTCCAAACCCTGCTGTCTCAGTGGGGAACACGGATTCCAGGTGGGAATGGAGGAGGGCTTGGGAAGTGACCCTGTGGTGTCTGGGGCTGAGGAGTTATTTTATATTGTCTCTTCGATAGGCGTGCCAGCAATGATTTTTATCAGGGACAGTCCTGTCCCTTTTGTGAGCGTCCTGGCTCATAGATCACCTAGCAGGTGATCTGTTTAGTAATCAGCGTTTTCTGTTTGGTTTTTGTTGTATTCCAAACCAAGCAACAGAAGGGCTATGATCTAGGCATGGCCACGAGGGGAGGGTTATGATCGCTTCCCCACGCCACAAGCAGGGAGCTGGACGGGAAGTAGAGCAGCTGGGACACGAACCGCTGACCACATGGGATGCTGGTGCTTGCAAGGGGAGGATTAGCCAGTTGAGCCATCACGTCAGGCGCGAATACTTATATTTGGTGCTTTTAAATTTTGTTGTTGAAGGGTAGGATGCCCTTCCAATGTGATCATAACCCTATACATTGTTGGGGAAAATTTTATATGTAAATGTGATGAAGCCTTGACATAGTTAGGTCTCTTCTAAAATGAAATTGTGTTGACTTGGCAGGTGAACCGGAACTGCCTTCTGTGGCTTGGTCACCTGCATTATTTATGAAAAGAGATTAACAATAGTTCTAAGAAATAAAAAGCACACTTCAGGGGCCTAGCTTCTGGCTCCAGATCAACTCAGCTCTGGCCATTGTGGTCATTTGGGGAGTGAACCAGTGGACGGAAGATCTCCTCTCTGTAAATCTGCCTTTCCAATAAAGATAAATCTTAAAACACACACACACACACACACACACACACACACACACACACACACACACAGTCACAAAGATTAATTTATTTCAGCCTCACAAGTTTCTAGTAATTTTAAATCATTTACTTGTTAGTGTCAATAACTAATGTTAAGAATTACAAGCGTTCATGAAATGAAGAAGTCCTTTCAAAGCTAAAGGATTTTGTCATTGCAATACTATCAAGTCCCTATTAGATGAAAGGCATTGTTAGGTCGAAGCTGTTGCAATGGAGGGAAACATGTCCCTTTGTCACAGGGCTGGCCACTTAGCCACACGGAGCTATCACGTCAGTAGACTCTCTAGAGAGAGCCTAACCTCACATGGCCTTAGGAAACTAAAAAGACAGCCTCTGGGGCGACTACTGCTTCCAACCCGGGCAACACTTGGGCAGCTTCCTCAGCCCGAGGGAGCCCGGCGGGTGTGCGCTGACCGGCTAAGGGGTCTGCCACCTGCGGGAGGCGTGTGTCCACCGTTTAGGATTGGCTCGGGGCCGCCCCGCCCCCTCCAGGTCTGTAGTGGCTGAGTCACAGAGAATAGATAGTTTATCAGCACATGTCCTCCAGATCATGTTCTCGGCTTACAAATATAGCCGGTTAGCGCACTGGCTGGGAGGTTGGGGGCCGTGTGAGCGCTTCCGGCTGCGGATGTAAACAGCCTCATCACAGCGTAGACCACTGCCGGCTGGGCAGGTAGGTGAGTGTCGGCCGGTCCCAGCTGGCCAAGTGGAGGGCCTTGTGGGAAGCAGGTGGGAGTGGCCGCCGCCGCGCCTGGGAGGAGGGAGGCAGGGGACCGGCCGGGGCGCACCCCTCGGCCGCTTACTCCTGGCGTTTGTGCCCAACCTGGCTGGACCCCTGGGGTGCACAGCCGCCCGATATCCACGCCAGGTGGGGGCTAGAAGCTGGTGCATAGTGTGGATCTGGAACTAGACCTGGACGGGGAGGAACACGGGCAGCAGCTGGGCAGGGGCTCTGGGTTGTTGGCTTCCTCCCAGCCTCTAGGCTAAGGCGGAGTTCAAGGCTAAATGGTCCAAAGTGCTGTTCCAGGGAGATAAATCAACTTTGTTTGTGTCTTATTTGAGGCTCTGACAGGGTGAATGACACCTGCTAGGGTAAATCCGCCTTCCTGGAAGGCAGTACTTGCCGCAGCACCTCCAGGTTCAAGGGAGTGGTGGGAAAGTGACTGAAGCCAGGGGAGAATTGTGTGGCCTTGAAGCTCTCAGCACTCCAAGCTGCTGAATTCTGATGCTCTTGTCTTGTTTGTGACTGGGACAAGGAGCCTGCATCAATTCCTTTAAATAATTGACCTTTCCTCAGCCTCAGAAGGTGCATGGGGTCTTAGCTCAAGCTCCTGGCCCATGTGACTCCCCGTCACCTTGTCATAACCCCATGAGCCAGCTGCTGCTGTTGCATTGTGTCCCTATGAGAGCACCCGGCCAGGCCACGCGACGGGGCAGCATCCCAGCCCCTAGGGGCTGACTCAGACACTGTTGCCTTAATCCTACCTGCTGCCACTTCTCCCCTGCCTGGATTTTCTAGCTTAACAAATTGCCATCATAATCATCAGCTGTCTCCCTGGGGACAGACCCCATGGAAGCAAATGTCTTAGAATTCTTGAGTTGGGCTGAGCAGTTGGAGCTGTTTGAAGGTCTGTCCCCCTAGTTGATCAGAACACTGACCTCTGCGGGGACTGTATGGACTTTGTAAGTTACCAGGGCTCCTTGTTCACTGTGTGAATGTCCCTAGAAATTCCTCTGGCTTTGTGACAAGAGATTCACACCCCGGAGGGTGCCTGGAGTAGCCGGTAGACCACAGGAGGAGGGTACTGGGGCTGTTAGGGCAAGGGAGCCTGGAAGTCAGGCCTAGCTCAGTGCCCCTCTCCCAGGCCCTACTCCACCCTCCTCCTTGCCTCCTGCCCTTATTCTTGCCTCATTTGCCCAGCTTCAAAAGGAACATCCAAGCCATTCCCTCCAGTGGACCTCCTCCCACACTCCCCAAATCCATCCTGTAGCACTTGTGCCCCATATAGCCCTGTCTGTCAGGTGACAGAAGGGAGCACCCTGGGCAACCAGTAGGTGCCCCCTCACAGCATGTGACTGCGGAGTGGAGTGCCTGGGACCTGTTTTTCTACTCATGCCCCCTGACTTGGAGGCAGGTGGCTCTGTAAAGTGCCTCTGAGGCAGCTGGACTGGGGAGGGGGCAGCAGGCTCCGGCCCTCTGCCCCGACACCTGCCGTGCTGGTCCTGAGAATGTCTGTGGCAGGTGGGAGCTGGGCCTGAAGCCTGTGCACTCCTGAGGGTGGCCACTAGGGAGAGACAGGCCAGGAGTTTTCACTTTGATTATATTAATAGCTGCACACACAGTAGCTTCGGTTTTGCCCACTGACCTGGGAAGCCTTCAGTATTGACTATCTCATCCTTGACTGGAAATATTTGCCCATCTCTGTGTGAAAGCAAAAAGCTTTCCCTTGAGTGTTTTTCTTCCCACTGTGGATTTGACCTTTCAGTGTCTGTGATGGTCCATGTTTCCACGCTGTGGCACCTGGTACCCCTGGGCACAGAGGAGGGGCCTGGCAGCAGTCCCTGGCCTGTGTTCTGTCCTTTGCCACTGGTGAAGACATGTCTCATCATTCCCTGTATTTTCT